ATTACAAGATCCACGAAAGTTCTTTCAAATGGTTTTTTTTTGAAATCTTATATTCATTATTCATTTTTGGAGTCATCCATTTTTTGTAAGATTGCTAACCCAGATCTTTCTTATTGTACGATTAATAGTACGAAGTAAATTTTACTAATTTACACATTGCATTGAAGTCGGCCTCCATTCAAATAAAAAATCATAGAAAAATCAAAATCAACTATAAGAAATAGTATTCGAGATAGTTTAGAAAGCTCTATACATTTGACGCTGTGATTCCGTTGACTGTTACCTAACGAGGAATAGTGTATTGATAAAACTTTTTATATCATTTGTAGACCACTTTATGCTACATATTTTAAGGAAGAAAATTCGAAAGTTGCTTCATATTGTGCACTAAAAACAGAGGAAGAAAAAAAACACGAATTATATCTAGATCACTGAATAATTCATCATTGGTAATCAATACTTACTCAACTTCTTTTCTATTTTGAGATTGTTTGTCAGAACTGTTCGAAAAAATGGTGACATCTTATTTTCTCCATTGTTTGATCCCTTTCTTTCCTTGCACATACTCTAATGCTTTTCTACAACCTCATCCCTTATGGATGATCGTGCTCTTCGATGAAAAGTCATTTTTAATAGACAGTACAGTTTTATTACAATTATATCATCTAGCTTCTTTCTTATTTTTTGATACACCATATAACATACTTCAATATACTGAAAAGATTGATAAATTAACGTTTGAAAACCATAAATGTTAATCTGAAAATAAAGTGAAATCTTCAAAAGTTTATCGATAATGTGAGAAAACTAGCAGAATCTAAGGAATTTTACATAATAGCATGCAGCAATCCCCACGATCCAAGAATTTGGAATTCAAGGAAAATCTGTGAATTCAAGACTTACTAATATTTTATATATCAACCCCTTCTGACCATCATGGAAGTCAAAGAATTCAAGGAATTCAAGAAATTCCAAAAAATCAAGAGAAATGTAGGAATTCAAGGATTTCAAGACATATCTGTATTTGTATGTGAAGTACTTTTGCGCATCATGGAAACTAAGGAATTCAAGATGTTTTGAAGGAAATATAGGAATTCTAGGTAATCAAGGAAAATATATGGATATAAGGAATTCGTGACACTTTGATATTTGATGTAACAACAGCTTGAGAGTATTATGGAAATCAAAGAATTCAAGAAATGCGACAGGTTCAACAGATGTTGGTACTCTAGATCTACATCTGGGAAGGACCTGAAAACGAATGAATGTTAGGAGATGAGTGAGATAGAGGAAATGGAAGGTATTCAACAGGCAGGGATACCATGCACCTCAGTTACTCGTTAGCATGATGGAAACCAATGAATTGAAACCAAATCATTAAAATGAAGGTGTTCAAGGGCTGTCGGAAAAGTTGAGGGAATACCAAGATTTGAAGAGAGACTGACTTCTCATAGGGTAGCAAATGGTAACCAGTCTGAAAAGCGTTGAGTCTATGGGAACCAGTGAAGTAAAGAAGTACAAGGAGATGGAAAGAACTAAGGAACCTGCGCTCTGTTTCGAATATGGAATTGAAAAATATGCAGGATGTTCAAAAAGTCCTGCCGAAAAAGAAACGTGAATATCTCTTTAACCAGTCAAGCGATTTACGTGAGACTTTTATCGTTTCATTGCATATTGATCGAAGTTTTATTTTACATGAATTTGCTTCTAATTGATTGTATAAAATGATTACTTATAAATGCAATACACAAACCTCTCTTTTTTGAAAATATCTGTAAAAAACATCATATGAAATTTAGTTTGAATTCTTTTCGGTCTTATTATAGATTTTCATTTTTAACTGAACTAGATCTTTGAGAAGTGCTTTATAAAAATTGTTCCCTTCATGTTCCCATAAAAAAGACGTCGAGTCACATCAGCTCAGCTGATCGTGATGCCCATTGAAACGAATTGCCTTCGCTATTGAACTTACTTGAGCAAATGTTTCCCAGAAATTGATAGTCTTTGAGGCTAAAATGCGCAGGAACTTCATGTTTGTGAAGTAATATGGAGTTTGTCTAGCATAATCTTCGTACTTCTGAACTAAAAAAAGACTTAAAGCATAGTAAAATATTTTTCTCTATTGATAATATTACCGAGAAAATATTATTCAAACATTCGATTTCCTAACATCACACAAGAAATGTTGCCTTTTCAAGATTGTATAATAATTTCAACAGTTCCATGCGTCCATGACGTCTGTTCAAAATCTTGTTAAGTTGAAAATGACAGTGTACAAAAAGATCAACACGATTTCAAACTAAAGTCTATTTGGTGTTACTACAGATATTTTCAAAAATGACAGTATTATGTGTTGCATTTATAAGTAATCATTTTATAAACTTATTAGAGATAAATATATGTGAATTAAAATTCCACTGAATATGAAATGAAACTATACAAACCTCACGTAAATCGCTTGAATGGTTAAAGAGATATTCACATTTCTTTTTCGGTTAGACTTTTGGAATACCTTGTAAGTGTTTGAAACAATTGGATGAAATAATGCGCTCTGGCTCATGATACGAACTCAAGTTAGATGATTAAATCAGATATGCGCTTATAGGACAGTTTTATGGTTTCTTTTGAGAAAGATGTATGCAAAAAAAAGAGGAAACTTTTTCTGAGAAAAATGAAACATATGACAAAAACTGAAATAAAAGCGTACTACAGTTATAAAGTTCGGTTTTCTGTGTGTCTTTCTCTATTCGTTGCTTTCTATCCGCCCTTTCTGTATGTCCTGACTCACATCGTTTTTTCAAACTTCCTTTTTCGTACGCCGATTCAATACACCGAAGTTTATGGTACATGAAAAACTTGAACGTTTGATTGAATTAGATAAAATTTAAGAAAATCGGCCAACATAATTGACTCTTTATGTTTGCGTCGTAACGTGGGAATGCGAAGCGCACCTCCCCCCTCTCCCTCCCCGAATAGCTGCGATCCATACTCTTCTTTGTGTACACAGTGAGGTCTGCCTTTTTTTCTTTGATAAAACCAAAAACGACGTAAGGAGAGGACAAAATACGCTACATCTCAATATTGAACAAAAGTAGCACGATTCTACGCCAAAATTTCGAGTAACCTTGACATTTTTCAGTCCAAATCCTACGGACAACTCGCCTTGGAGAAATATAGGTCCTAACATTAGTTTCAGCTGAGGTGGCCTAATGACAAAGGAATTCATAGTAGGCATGGTCGATTCCGGATCGGAATTAGAATTGGAATCAGAATCAACAATTCTGATTCCAATTTTGATGTCAAAAAAAAATTCATATTGACAATTTCGATATGATTTCAAAAACGATGGTATCGATTTCAATGCAGTTTCGGGTCCGAAAAGAGCCAACTTTGTTCATGTCTAATTCGTAGTTCAACACTGTATTTACTTTGTGAAACTAACATCTGAGCTGTTCTGACACCTTTCTTCTCGGAATAGACTCTCTTTTAAAAGTACTGTTTGCCGGATTTGTTCAATTAAAGCTTCGTTAGAAATCACTTATATATAAAAAAATATGAGTCATTGACTCGAAAGTAGTACAATTGAGAAACTTCCTCTTTACTCAGTTGGTCTTCTTAAGGTAACATTCATAAGTCTATCCAGAAATCAAGACATTCATCACATCTTATACTTCTAATATTACATGGTCGTCGAAATTAGCGATCTGAGTCCTTCCGATCCAAGCTTTTAGCGCATTTATTTAAGTTAGTAAAAGTTAGCTAGCCCGACTTTTGAATATTCATCAAGTCGCATGAGAAATGATCCAAAATTGCTTTCGAAAGGTGAGTCGGCTAGCCCATCCATGAATCAACTAAAGTTTTTGATGCAACATATTAGGGAATAGAGCATTGAAAGTTGAACAATACGACAGCCGATGCACGGCTGGAACACATCTTTTTTATGGTGAAAAATTACTAATTGTGAACTATTCTTATATATTGCATCAAAGATTTGTTTGACTAATTGCTGGCCTGAGCGACTCAGCTTTTCAAAGGCAATTTTGAATAATTTCTTCATACAACTTGATGACTACTTAGAGGTCGTTTGGACCAACTTTTACTAATTTAACCAAATCCGCTGAAAACTTGAATTTAGAGGTACAGACATCGCTGAGTCTAAGGAACATGCCAAATCAAAATTGTAAAACTTGATAAACGTCTTGGTTTCTGGACGATTCATCAATGTTCCTTAGAGAAGATCAATGGATCAAGAAGCTGGTTCTCACTTACAATAATTCCGAGTCAAAAATTCATATCTCTTCATATGTGGATGATTTTTAAAGAAACTTTAACTGATCAAATCTGACAAAAGGTACTCTTGAATAAGTATTCATCCAAGGCTATAAGTGCCAAAATAACTGAGATGCCAATGTCACAAAGTAAACACAGTATTAGACTATGAATTCATTTCTAATTAGACCATATCACTTGGAACTAGTTTTACGATCTACATGTCGTCGATTCGATTCGATTCGATGTCACGGTTTCAGATCACCATTTTCAAGGTTAATGGAAAGTTTGACCAATTATAGGCTTACTATTGAACAGCATTGTACATTACATTGGGCAGTCAAAAAGTTCTGCAATTTTCAAATATTTATTTATAGAGAAAACCATTTTGCTAATCTGTTTACAGTAAATGTTCAAAGTAGTCTCCATGACATTCAATACAAAGTTTTATCCTTTCAATCTATTTTTGAAAAGCCTTTTGGTATGCGTGAATAGATATTGGATAGAGCTCCTTGGTTATTGCTTTGGCTAAACTTGTAGTATCTGGATATGTATCACGACTATGTTTCAGACAATTGAACAACAAAAAAGTCTGAAGGAGCAAGGTCGAGAGAGTATGGTAGATGATCCGTAACCTTGATTTTTTCTTCTTGAACATAATTAATATTAAGATTAATATCTTACATACGTGGCTTTGCATTGTCAAGATGCAAATTTAATGCCATATTTTTCTATGATGATCTTTTCTTGGGTAAATTTTTGACTAATCTTTTTAAACATTCATCGCAAGAACACATATGATAGACCATATCTGAGGTAGTAGCAATAGAATCAATATTAATATGTGGATCATCATTCACTAGAACTTTAACAGCATCAATATTTTGTTGAGTGATGACGGTTATTGAACGACCACTTTGAGGATTATGTTTTAAAGATTCTTGTTCATTTGAAAATCGGTAAATCCATCGAGGAATTATACGATATGAAACATAACCTTGACCATAAGCAGTAGTTAACTCTTTTTGAATTTGTGTAGTAATAAAACCTAATAACAAACAAGTTTTTATATATGAGCGTATGCACTGTTTTTTCATCTGCTAACAGAGATGACAAAAAAATCTACTAACAATCTGCCATAATAGACATGTGTGAAAATTCGTATTGGTGGTTTAATACAGAACAGATGTTGCTATCAGAACAAGCCAACATGCGGGACAAAAACAATGGAGTCGAAATTTTAGACTGTTGTTATCAGAATTTTTTGACTACTTTATATGTTTAGCAAATTAACATAAGGAATTAGATTCCTGAGTGGCGAAACTAATCATTTCAAAATTTGCAAGCTACCTATTCAGCAAATTTCCCCAATGTTTGTTTTTTGAGTTATAAAAAAAATTTGAATATTATTCAAGTTTCTGTGTTATCGACTTTTTTTCTGATAATATAAGTTGCAGTTCAACAGAAGCCGTATATAGCCGAGTAGCATAGTTAATATTTACGATGATCAATTCATTTTATTGAAAACATACTATTTTTAGTTGCAAAAATGGAAAACTAATTTTTCGACTAAAGAAATAATTGGAAAACAATTTTGGTTTGAGTCAAACGAGAGTAAAGAATTCTCTACAAAGCGATATAATAGATTATACTTATACCGTTTCTGTCATTGAGTAATAGTCAATACAGACTTATCATCAGAGATATAGAGTTTTGCAAATTATCTTCATTGCTAATTTTTACAATCCATTTTGATTCTCCTATGAACTATTCTTTGAATGTAAAATGACTTTAATCCTCTTTTGTCAGGTGATTCCTGATCACAGAAGCACTAAAGAAGGTTCATTACGGCCTAGGAAATTATAATCGTCTTTCTTTTCAACTCATTTCGAATCCACTATTTCTGTACTGAGAATTCAAGTAAATCTAATAACTTGTTACCATTTATTCTTACCCCTTTGATACCTCGTTAATAATTACTAATTACTAATAACTCCTTATCTTTGTCGTTATGAAAAATAATTGATATTTAGTTTTTAAGCATCAATACTCATTCATACAGCAGAAGATGATGGAAGGTCATGATAAGAAAAAAAAAGCGGCGAACAAAGATCATCCGGTTTCGATCGCACTAGCAGCAATTACTCTCTATGATGCAGAGGCAAATTATTGGCAACATATAATAGACAATGACATCGAGAGCAACAGTGATTCACAGTATATGTTTGACAGTGTACATATGAATATGAATGCAAAAGAAAAACTTGGTCAGAAACCAGCGCCAATAGCAATGGAGGATTCTGGTGATGCACAGAACAATTCTATGACAAAAAATCGTCGAGTCGTAGTAAATACCACTAAAGAACTAAATTTGACATCCACGAATATCATCAATGATATTGGAGGAGATCTCGGTCCTATTGTGGGATATGCACAAGAGCCTTTGTTGCCACTTTTCAAAGCATGTGCTCCACTAATTGACATCGTTCATAATTTATCGTTCTATATTGAAATGGCACTCTACGAAACTCCAGAAGAACCATCAGATGGACTCACAATTGATGAAAGTGCTGCAATCCGTCTCTACACCATAGAATGGGACGAACCACATCCAAGTCTTTATTCAATGCTCAATCACGCTCTCATGAATGATCATCGCGAGCATCTCCGACCATATTTCAAGTACATGAAACTGTTCTTAACTGCTCTAGCCAAATTACCATGCGTTCCACTATTAACTATTTGGCGAGGAGCCGCTAAAAATATGAGCGAAGAATTTTTACCCGGTACTCCAGTGATCTGGTGGGCAGTTTCATCATGCACAACTTCATTGACTGTGCTTGAGAACAACATGTATTTGGGTGAGACTGGTGATCGAACATTATTCTCCATAGAAGCTATTAATGGTCGAAAAATACGTGCTCATTCACATTTTGTTACTGAAGAAGAAGTTCTCCTTCTGCCTGGCACTCACATGATAGTTCAATCACAATTAAATCCAGCACCAAATCTTCATATCATTCATTTGAAACAGGTAATACCAGAAGAAATGCTATTGGAACCACCATTCGAAGGTATTTTAAATATTTTTAATCGTTTGTTTTAAATTGACGCATTTCTTTCCTTAGGTGCATATCTTTATCCTAAGACTAAGTAAGTCTAACCTCATCTTCATCTATCTATACTTTGACAAGACTTCATTATATTTAGAAGACGGCAATGGTATCGCAAGAAGAGATCCATCATTCCAATCAGCTTACTGACAGCTATACTCATCGCGGCAGTCATTGTTGGCTCTGTTTTAGGAAGAAGATCTCCAACAAGTATGTTTTTTGGTACTCTTCACTTTTCAACTCAAAGATAAGCGGGATAATTCATGCTGCAAGACCTAACCATTTCATTTCACATAGGTTGAAAGACATCAAGACTGTTCGATTCATAAAGAGTACGCCATCTCTACATCTTACTCCCTCCACCGAAAGATCTTTTGTCGAACCTGTGACAGATTTGTTAGAGGAGAGATAGAGTTGATATATTTAGCTCGTCTCTTTATTCTTCTTCTCGTATATCTCGATCTACACAGTCAGATTGTATGCGTGCTTCTTATATCTCAGAGAACATTACTTATTTGAGAGAGTGTGTATGTGTATGATAAAGAAGGAAAAACAAGAGGATAAGGAGAAAATGAAGAAAGAGAGAAAGGCAAGAAGACAACACGGAGAGAGATAGGGTTAGCATACTCTAATTAAACAGGCAATGGATAAACAATATTTTTCTTCACAAAACATATTTCTATTTATAACAAAACATTCATCAAATGACAAATCCTGATTGAAATCGAGAATAAAATATCGATTGAATGGTTCATTCATTTTTTAAAAAGTCTGATTTTATAAAGTTGAAAACACTTCAATGTATTACATATTATGTCCTTAAATGTAGTTACGTTAGCCACTAATCCAGTTTGAAATTACAGTTCGAATTTTCTGCTTTTCTTTTATCTGTTCATTACCATTAATGATATTTAAATTTGACGAATTTCAGAATGGTAGACTAGAAAAAACAACAAAGCTTGTATGAATCGGAAAATTTGTTGAGTTCTGTATGAGTAGAACAGGGTTTCAGAGGACAGATTTTAAAGAATCTCTGTCATCCCCAACTGGAATCGTTAGAAAACGGTCTACTGACTGATTGAAATTTGATTCTAAACTGATAAAAAAGGAATTAAAAAACCGACCACATCGAATTCTATTCCTGGTCAATGAAAAACCGATTAAGTTTCTTCTGAAAATCGACTTTCGAAAAGAACTTTGCCCAAGAATGAAGTGTTTTGAAAGCGCACGATAATGATATTTGATCTAATAAATTCATCTAAACTCAATGAATAAAAACGAAGTCTGTTGGGAAGCTAGAACCGATAGATATCAGGAACGGATTCGGGGTGCACACGATAGGTATGATTGCGCGTATCTTCAAGATTTTCTTCATTCGCTGTCAGAAAAGTGTCAATGAAGAACACACCTTTAGTTTTCTGATCCTGAATAATTCTTACTCTCTGAATCGATTACGAAAGATTTGACGAAAGATTGTTGGCATTTTTGAATGAATTTTCTCTTCGTAATTTACTTTTATTTTTATTTTTGTTTTATTTCTATTTAACGTTTCAGACGATAATATCGTCCTTCTTCAGAAGAAAATGTACAAATTATTAACATAGAAATTTTCTTTACATATACACACAGTAAAGTTCATTCATTTCTTTCAGTTTTGTTTAATAGCAATGCGGACAAGACGGTAATAGTCTAGTACCATAAAAGCATATATGTTCAAACTTGAAAGTTGAATTCAACTATTCAATTATTGAATTAGTGATGGGTACTCTGGAAAAAAAATAAGATGTCATATGGAATCATAAGTGGTTTCGTGCGGCCTACGACAATTTATAAAAGTTTCGCACACAGCAACGAAAGTTAGAAAAAGATTTCTAGACGCTCGGCAATCATTTTGAAACTATCTTGGGTCTTTACAAAATCTTTTCTAAGATTTCGATTTCGTTGCAAAAATGATTCCGTACAGTACAACTTTTTTCAGTATACCCTTGAAGGGTGCAGGACACTGGGGATGTGAAGGGCATGCTTCATAGCAGGTACCCTGGAAGGGTGCAAAGTGGAATAGTTGAAACTTCGAGTATTCAATACTTGAATTCAACTTTCATGTTTGACATTACTAGAAGATTTCATAAATTTCCTATGAAACCTTTACAAAGGTTTCGATTTCGTTGCGATTCTGTATGATACCATTTTTTTTCAGTGCACCAAGTCGATTATGCCAAAGTAAAAACATCTATTGCTGCTTTAATGGATGACAACAACTATGTTGATGGAAATTACGGCCCATTATTCGTTCGATTGGGCTGGCTTGCGAGCGGTACATACTCCCGTTTTGATTCAACTGGTGGTTCCAATGGTGGATGTATTCGCTTTGAACCTCAAAGTACTTGGCCGGTCAATAAAGGTAAACATTTTCACGTCTGTAATAAAGTCTTTCGTCGAACTTCTGATAAGTTTTTGGTTTCATAGTTTCGGTTGAAAATAGGAATTCGAGTTATGTAATATAGATATTGAATAAAAGAGTTTGCTTGTCAATAAAAGTTTAAAGTGATTTTTAAAAATGTCGAAAGCAAAATGTGAACTGTGAGCCATTATTCTGAAAAATTAGGTAAATTCTCTATAACTGTGTGCAGCAATATCTCTGGTTTAGTGACGAATCTAGGGTTTCGGAGGGATGGAGGCGATCCTAGATAAAATTCATTTTTTAAGACTTATTTGAAGTAGTATAAATCATTTTTTCGTCGATGTTTGCCGGGAAAACTCGAAAAAAATTTCCTGAAGGAGGAAAGGCGAATAACCGTCGTGCTCCCCGTTAAATCCACCACTTCTCTCATTTAAAATTTGAGTATACATTATTCAGACTACCCTCCCAAGAAAAAAGGTCGCATTAGATTCGAAAAACTAAATCATGTATTTTCATCATTCAAACTATGACTTTACAACTATATTTTGTGATTCGATTCAACTTGCGGAGCTTTCAGAATATACTGCTAAAATATTTTCAAAATGTAGGTTTCTGAAGGAGCTCTCTAAAACACTTAAGTTTTTTGAAAAAGTCCTGTAGTTAGGGCATGTAATAGAATTTGTCGTTTATCTTTCCTAACATTTCTCTTCTCGTATTCGTTCACAATCGTAAATAACACATGTTATCTAAACACATTTCAGCTCTTAAAATATTTTTAATCATAAATACTCAGGTGTTTATTTTAATTTTTTTAATACACTCTCTCAATATCAATTATATATTCAAAACTTTATCAAATGAAACGCATTTCAACAATTATTGATACAACTTTTATGTTTGGTTTCTTTCGAACAGTCGATCGACAAGAAAAAATAAAAAGTATCAAATGAATGCACTTTGTACATTGATTCCAAATATACATGTTCGGTTTGGCCAAAAACTACACGATACAGAATCCATGACTCGACTGAAAAATTATTTCTCGGATACTTGTTTTTAATCATGAAACGAAAGAGCACGATCAGATACCTATAAATCCAAAACTTTAGACTCATATGACTTTGACTCTTCAATGATAATGAGGAAAATATCAACCAGTTTAACAAAATAACCTTTTTCGTTCTCGTTATTTTATATGTTAGTATTTGAACATTATCTAAAAATCGATTGAACGGGTCAAATAAGTATTTCATCGAGTTTTTTGGCCGTTTGAATCAACACTAAATACAAACTTTGTATCAAGGCTGAAATGTAAGTTCGATAGAGAAGTCTTTTAGCTTCACAATGACATGCTTTGCTTAAAAAAAATATCTGCCCTCCACAGAATAAGAGAAGAAACAAATGTCAATTCGGTTTTAAAAACCAATTCAATATTTTTTAGATAAAATCTGAAGAATAATATACTTCATCAAGCAAAAGACATAATTCAGAATCTGTAAGACTTCTCTATTGAGCTTATATTTCGAAAAAAGATCTCAGTCTTGATGTGAATTTTTTATTTAATGTTTATTCAAACTTAGCAGAAAATCTGAAACAGTACTCCATTCTATTTTTCACAGAATTTGCAAAATTTTTCATACGCCGAAATCTATTTCAGTATTTTTTTTGAAATGTTAAAAAATATTCACGTTAAAGTGTGTTCAGTTTATGTAAGAAAGATTGAGCTTCAACGATTAATTCGTTTGATCTCGGTGAGTGACGCAGTAAAGTATGGTTATTTCAAGTTAAATGCGGCTTTTTATCTACGAGTCAAGGTCTAATCACGCTGAAAGTTTTAAGCTTTTCTGCTCTTCGATTTTTCAGAAAGAGAAAAATGTCCTTAAATCTGTAGAACTAAAAGTCGTCCGTAATGTTTCTTGTACTATCTCATTCTAGGTTTAAGCATAGCACGAGATCGTCTGCAAAGTGTTTATCATGATCATCCTGGCTTAACCTATGCTGACTTGTACACACTGGCTGCTGTCATGGCCATTGAACAAATGGGTGGTCCGACCGTCAAATGGCGACACGGACGAGTTGACTATGAAGATGGGAAAAAATCGCCGCCCGCTAATCGATTACCAAGTGCTAGCCAAGGAGCCCAAAACATTCGGGAAATTTTCTCTCGAATGGGTTTCAATGATCGTGAAACCGTCGCTTTGATCGGTGCTCATTCTGTGGGTCGGTGTCACACGGATCGAAACGGTTTCGAAGGACAATGGACATCTACACCGACCACATTTTCAAATGAATTTTTCCGTCATTTATTGGAAGACACTTGGCAAGAACGTCATTGGCAAGGTCCAAAACAGTTCGAAGATGTGAAAACAAAATCTTTAATGAGGTTACCATCCGATATGGCACTGATTCAAGATCCTGAATTTAAAATATATGTGATAGAATATGCCAACAATGGAAGTCGATTTGCCTTGGATTTTGCAGATGCTTTTGAGAAATTATTGGAATTAGGAGTGGACTTCCCATCATCCTATTGAAGTCGACATGGAAAAAATGCTTGGTGGTGGAATAGAATATTTGACTAAAAACAAGACATTCACTTTATTTTTGAAAAATTTTACTGATTGCAAGTGATTTAGTTCCTTTTTTTGACACAACGATTTGTTGTGTGTTGATATCTTTTCTTTCTACTTTTATGTATTCAATTTTACTTAATATTTCCAAAAAACATTGAGTTCGATGGTGACCGCTAGTATCATAAAATTATCTTATGCACAAGTACAGTTTTAAGGCGAAAAAAGCTACCACCAATAAACAAGTGTGCATTAGGAAAAAAAGAGAAGAATTGACTCGGCACCTGTTTATAGATATTGTTACTACATGCATGGAAGTGGCGGGTATCACTTTTGTATGACAATATCATCCATTCAAAAAAGTTGTCAACAATTTATAGAAACAATAAAACACGTCGAATTCGTGTCGGCTCAGGGCTCGGACGATTATTCAAAAAAAATTTTGTCTTTTAAATAAAGACGAAAATTCAGAACACATTTAGCAAGACTATGAATATAATGCATAAAAAGATATCGTACTGAATACACGGGTAAAGTTAGCACCAGATTCGAGTTTTTGCCGTCCAGATTCGTTCGCGTACTTGAGTTATATTTCGCTCAACTTGAGTTAGATGCAGAATTTTACGGCGAATCCGATGCCGTAAAGATCAAGGGGAAGGAGAGGGGAAGAGGATCATCCAGCAAAAACTGACACTTGATCCCAAACTACTGAATTTTACAAAATTTTTTGGAAAGTATTTGCAGTCCGAATTCGCTATTTTACTTGAGTTGGATTTAGCATGAAATTCTGCATCGAATGATATTGATTTAATATGAGGTCATCGAGAAAAAATTTGCCACCTCACCCAACCACACCTCCTCATGGTAATTCTCACTCTCACCCATATGGAAAATTTTTTGCCCGATAACCCCATACTAAATCGATATCATTCGATGCAGAATTTCATGCTGAATCCAACTCAATCATTTTTAGACCCAACTCAAGTAAAATAGCGAATTCGGATAGCAAATACTTTTCAAAAAATTTTGAAAAATTCAGTATTTTGGGACCAGGTGCCAGTTTTTGCTTGATGACTCCTTTGATCTTTACACCATTGAATTCACCGTAAAATTCTGCACCCAACTCAAGTTGAACGAAATATAACTCAAGTACGTGAACGAATCTCGACGGCAAAAACTTGAATCTGGCGCTAACTTTACTCACGTTAGATATAAGTAGAAGGAGTTACATATAGTTATAAGCGGTTAAGTATAGGCATATGGGTAAGTATAGAAATAAAGGCGTAGGGATAAGTAGATAAAGTTAATTGTATTCATGTATAGGCCACTCGAAAATTCTTCATACGAAACCTTATTTTCAATTTGATACAAAGATTTTGTGGGAAACCTTTCCTACGAAACCTTTTTTACGGCAGTCCAGAAGAAATTTGAGGTGAAACTTTTCTTATACGAAATCAAAACAAAGGTTCTTACTGTGTACCCGCGGGAAGAATCTTTTTTGAGTTTGAAAATAACTGTTTTTGTTTAGAGTGTATCCACACCCACCAACGCTACACTCACGCATACCCACACTGTCTTGCCTCTATTTATATTATGTATAAAAAGAGGACAGTTTCATTTAAAGAATATAAAAAAAGACAGTTTTTATTACCAAACTATTCTGACGAATAATAGTCGTTAGCAATTCATCTCCATTAATCTAGCTACCATTAGTTGATTTACAGCCAATCTATTTATACTAAATACATGACTGGTGATCTATAATAATATTGCATAATCGCCATGATCCATCACGAAATTATGGCTGATTTTTCTGTAGAAGTTCTGACGGATTCCTATTGGTATCCATGACTAACTACCAACGACAAAACGACTGCAAATCGTATTTTTTGGTGTAACTTTTGATAGAAACAAGATAGAGAGCTGCGGTTTTCACTATTGGAAAGAGGAGATGAAGACGCATCGAAATGTATATTATAAGTTTCTTTAAATATGTTTTCTGAGGCTTTTTAAATCGATCATCTAAAAAAGGTAGCGGAAAAATAGTTTTTATGAAAAAGAAAAAAGAAAAAAAATGCTTTTTTTTACAAGAATTGCTAGAAAAATCGGCTTATAGTTTCGAGTAGAATACCTATAACTCCTAAATGATTGAAGCTAAGAATCTGAGCCTTGCACAGTTTTATAGATGTTCAATTATCACTTTCAATACATATCAGATAATTGAAAATTCACTATAATCACCTATTAAGAACGTTGTTTTTCAAAAAGCTCAATTGAAAACCTTAGAAAAACCAGGTCAAAAGGTCTATAACATATGACTCGATGCGTCTTCATCTCCTCTTTCCAATAGTGAAAATCGCAGCTCTCTATCTTGTTTCTATCAAAAGTTACACCAAAAAATACGATTTGCAGTCGTTTTGTCGTTGGTAGTAAGTTGATGAATGATCCAACATGATATGACCTTTCTCATATTTAGACAATCCTGAATAATTCCTTTCATGGTGCTATAAGAGAGAGAAGTTTCAGCTACAATATTATCATAACTTGAATGTGGATCATTGTTGACGATCTATGATACCTGGTCAATAATTACACATGTAAGCTCAGACAACAGATAACTAAATCGATATTCATCACTTACATCTTGTCTTCTTTCACTAAAACGTTTCGTCCATCTTCCAACACTTGAATATGATGGATCTTTAGATCTCAATACTATTGTAAGTTGCTCTTTAACTGTCTTTATATGTATTCCCGAAACACCTCGTATTTTAATAGTATGTCGATCGAATTTATAATCCGTTTTTTTTAAATTTTTTTAGCTAGAGTTGGATTTCATCTAGAAGGATATTAGAACCAAACCCAGAATAGATTTATTATATATATTGTTATAGGCAAGACATTTTACTATTTATTTATGCAACAAACTCTTTAATAGTAATTGGTTGATAAAATTTCCAGAAATATTCTCAGAACTTTTGGTCAGATCTAAGTAAAGTGTATATATACAGTAATGAGCAAATACTACATTTCAGTCATGCACTAAGAAACTAATTAGAATTCAGGAAAATCTGTAAAATTGGAAATTTTCCTAGTTTTTCAGAAGATCTAGCAATCTTGGCTCGTATTAACTATTTCTATTCATTGTTTTTCATGCATACAATATCAATTCGACTCTACTAACGGTTAAGGTATTATATTGTTCATTATAGTATGTTGGCAATGACCATGTTCAAATCAATCTATAATTTTTGCAGAATATTCAGTTCAACAGATTATCAATAGATATATACTTTTATTGAATAGCAATGCTAACATAAATTTCAAGTATATATACATATATTTTCAAGGCACTGTCTTTCTTGAAAATGGTTTCTAACTGTGTCAGAATATATGATGGGTGATGAATAATCTGTACTTCAATTCATTCAAGTATTCTTTTCTATCCGAATAATATAAACAAATATTATTATTAAACACTGTTCTTGATCTCACTGAAGAAACTTAACCTGTTGTCAAATAAGAAAAATATATGTGTAACGCTCCGTATTAGTTTTTCACTTATTATCTAGAAGAAGAACGGAAGCAAACTTTATGAACGATAATATATTGATATAAATAGAACAAATTTTTCATATTAGGATATTGTGTAACCGTTAATATTTTAAAGACTAATTAATTCTAAAAATTTACTCTATGTACATCATTATAATATCATTCAAAAAATTTTATTTAATTTCTTCTTTTTTATTGTTTTCGGTAAAAACTGAAAAATTATCTTGAAGCGTTACATATATTTTTCTTATTTAACAGCAATTCAAATTTATTTAATGAGATCAGCAATTGTACTTGATAGTAGTATTGGTTTTCATTATTCGTATTTTATCGTAATATTTTTTATAGCTCGCCCTGTATATGACATAATTCTCTTTTCTAATGTCCTATTATTAATATATATATATGTGGTCTAAATTTCATGCATATTGATGATTAACATTCTAATTTATACACATGATTTAGTATAGAGATTTATTAATTTATGAAAATAATTTATATATGCAAAAGAAAAAAATAATAAGAAAATCGAACAATTCAGAAATTTTCTGTTATATAAAATATAGTATTTAAATGCTTAACACAATAATACTTCTATCATAGAGTTTCATTGAAAACAATCATTTATTTATTTGTTCGACATGATTATATAAAAATTGACAATACCAATGAATATTTTCTCAATATAATGATGATTTTATAAAATAAATCCACCATCATCGATATAGTTGTATTACTAAATGAGCAAATTGATGATTAGTAACAACTGCATAATTTAATACGACAATACCATCTACAATTAATTTCCCACTGGGTATTATTGATGTATAAAAACCTTGACTTTTAATCGATCTAATATCTATAATAGATCCAGATTGTTTAGTTTCATTCGTCGATATTATTTATAATTAATTATCAATTTTTAAATGACCAACAAAAATAGATTTTGTTTGATTAAAACGATAAATCAAATAATTACTTGAAATAATCAATAGTTGTTCAAAATTATTCTCGACAATTATTCTTAAATAACCATAAATTCCATTTGAACTTGCATGTTTAAAAGCATAAATAGATTTACATATAGGTTAATTCTGATTATCAATATTAACAAGTATTTCATCACTGATATTCAAATATTTCATTGATTTACATTATTTTCTTTCCATTATTTCAATTGTCACATCACTAGAAAAACATTTCGTTTACTTCAACTATTCTACATTTTCATGCCCAATAAAATGACCTACTACTACATGTACATGATGTATCATAACTATCGTCTTAATTTGATATCGTTTGAAATCAATAGAATCTAATGAAAATATTTATTGAAAACATTCTGATGTGCGCAATTATTTTTGTTTTTTATTTTTGTTTTTTATTTTTCGTTTATTCTATATCTGATTAATCAAGCATAACTTTATCTTTGATTACTCATATCAGTAAAAAACAAAAAAATAGTCTTATGAATCATTGATTTCGATAAATATGTGATCAATCAACATCTGGTGATTTCTTTTTTTGTATTCTTTTTTTTTAAAGAATAAATGCTAACGTTTGAATATACATACGTTGTTCATTGCTGATATATATGTATATATATCCAAAAGCAATTCTTCTCTTTCTCTCGTTTGCTTTAGCCTCGAAGGAAAGAACAGAAGGTCAACAGTAGCGGTCTAAAGATATAGACAATCACGCACGTATACATACATATATATATACGAACGATATTTTTGAATAAAAACGTGTTTGTTTAGTTATCGACCGTGTTCGTTTGTGCCCTTTTCATAGATGAAAATGTTTGTCCGTTGATTGGATAGAAGAAAGAAAGAAGAGAAAAAAAAATCATTTCGTTAGTTGAATAACGATATCGCGAGGATACGTGTGTATGTGTATGTATATATATATATATATATATATAGCTTATTTCTTCTGTTCATTTTGAGATACCAGAGAGAAGGGCAATGTAGCAGATATTTTTGTTTTTGTGTGTGTGATCTGATCAACGTGGAATATATTATTCTATTTCATTTTAGAAAGCATTGAAACAACAATAAGAAGATTAATATCATCTAGTTAAGTAAGTATTGAAAAAGCTTCTTTTATTTTTCTCATATATATATATATATACATCCCAATAGCACAATAATAAGTGATCTTTAATTTCATAGTTCTTGATCATCAGACAAGATCAATTTGCTCTCTCATCAATGCCAGCTGTTATTTCCTAACCACTTTACAAAAAATACAAACAACTCTTGTTTCATCAGTCTCAATTTTCATTCTTAGATTTATTTGAAATGAATGTTCCTATTTTATACACATTTAAGAAATATATAAATTTATACTTGATAAAATAAAAATAGACACATATGTTTAAGTATTTTATTAATTAAATTCTAACGTTACAAAAAAACAAAATTGATTTTGTTCATCTTTTGTTTTATTTTATATTTATTTTTGATAGATCATTCATTTTATTATCTAATTAATATTAATTATCAATTAAACAAAATAAATGGAACGAGAAATGCATGAACGTAAAGATCTATTGACAACATCGCCTGATGAAGTTGCATTCATTAGAAAAACAAATATTGTCAAGTAAGCTTTAGTTTTTCTATAATTTATACAAGAACATATTGCAAACTAACAACAACAACAAAAAAAGAACAACTGAAAGACATAATTAAAAAAATATTCCCTTTAGAGATCTAAAAATATAGTATCATTTGGTGGTTATCCTTTTCTTTGCTTTCTACAATTAATTATTCTTTGAATATATCGTACCATTGAGGTTTTATCAAAGCAAAAAAAAAAAAAAAAAAAAAGCTGACAGATGGATGACATAGCACTAAACTACAAAATAAAATATATGTTCCCATCATCCATCATCTATCTATTCTGTTTTGATAGAAGTCTATTGTAGGATTCAATGATGTTAATCATCATCATCAAAAGAAAAATATTTATACACATAGAGATATATCAATTAAATCTGGATGAATATATATTTAGGAAATAATTATTAAAGATTAATTCATAATAGGAATTCAATATAAAGAAAAGCATTTAGATATCAATTTAACTATCGTCTTAGTTTATACTTTACTAATTAAAAGCAATACTGCCATCGGTTATACTCCATTCATAACAATAGCAATCAATATAAAACAAAAACAACATATATAGACAATGTCAATATTTGTCTATATGTGCTTGAGTGAAAGACGAGACGATGACCTCAATGAATAAGGAAGGGCGTCAATATGTGTGTGTGTATATATATATATATATACATATCTTCGTATGTTCAAAGGAACACTTCGAATACAAAAGACATGATAATAATAATGATTATTCGCTCAGTTGGACGATCAATTGATCGATTGGCGCCATGCCTAGATTCTCTCGCCTTCTTTTTTCTTTTTTTTCTTCTATATTAAGATTGCAATCATAATTACTAAGCAGATGTTTCATTTAAGCAAATTTCTCGCTTTTAGTCGATTTGTGTATATTGCGCCTGTCATTCATTTAGACATATTTGGCTATGAGCCAAATATAACTCTAAACGATATTTGACAATGAATAGCGTTTTTATGCTTGATAGTTCATTCCTTATGCTTTTCTTTTTTACTTCCTTTCTTTCTAAAAAGACAGATGGAATATAACTAGTTGTTATGGTTACTTTTTTCCTTTTTAAGTTAGTTGTGGTTGTGTATTCGACACACACATACACACCATATTCTTTTTTTTCCATCATCATCATCATCGTTTGACCGAATGTGTGAGTCTGAATATAAACGGGAGCGGTGAGGCGGAAGCGCGTGTAAACGAGGAAAGGAGAGAAAGATGAAAACCTGTTGTAATGAGCCCCATCGCACTAATTCCTGATTGGAGTGTCGTCCCAACCGAGTTCACCTCTCTTTCTATTTCTTTTTCTCTCTCTCTCTTTCTTGCCTTTTTTTAGATATGTCCGCTAATTATCCCTCCTCAGCGCTGTCTGTTCGTTTCTTTTCCTTTTTTTTTTCTCTGTATGTCTGTTTTTCTCTCTCTCTCTCTCTCTCTCTTCTTCCTATCTTGTACTCTTAACTGCATACCACATATACTAGTTACACTCTAGTCAATAAAAGACAAAAGAAAGTAGTTGTTCGGAGAAAGTTTCATTATGCGTTCTTTTTTTTTTTTCATTTCTAAATATATAATATCTTTTTAGTTACTCATCGTTGTCGACTTTTGCTTCTTTTCTCGTTTTCTTTTTAACTAACCGCAAAGCAGACATATAAACGGTTTCTTTTTTTTTTTCTTTTCCCCTCTCTCTGTTTCATATACACACATCTTCTTTTTGCCTGTAGACCACATATATATATATATTTATATATATTTTTTTCGTCTATCTTAAAAAAGAAAGAAAAAAAAAAAGAATTAACCTATGGCCACTACTGAAGTACAACTTAGTGAACGTCAACCAATGTTAATTTCAACTACTGAAGAAGTTGTTCATTCAAATCCGGTTGCTTCATCAACCATACCTATTGAAAGTAGTACAACAATTATACGAAAGTAAGTGATGAACGCACCATATGGATGCATCATATATATATATTAGATGTGTTCTATGGTATCAGCTCGATTTTTCTTTTTATCTTATTGTTTTTCCATTTCTTGACCACCCGTTGTATTCAATAGAGATAACATTTTCTAATTAATGTTATAAATGTTAATTTTTCATTTGCATATCCGCTATAGTCAAGGAAATGAAATATTCATATAAATGTGGTAAATTTCACACATAATTGTAATACGATAAAATAAAAGAATTGATCTAGACAAACAATTGTATGTCTTTGTCTTTGATAAGATATCAGAACCTTTCTTATATATATGTATTATAGACAGATAGAATAGATAAATCGTTCATTCCTAGTATTCATCACATTTGCCTCCGCCTATTCTTATCAATCGACATATGAAATATGTCATCAATCAAATAGTTATAAAACTGAACTAGTGTCAATTGATATATGTTTGAATCAAAAATCAATAATAGATCTTAAAGTTGATATTTTTTTTCCTAATAGATATTCTTTTTATCTTTATATTTAGGGATGTTGAAATTGTACCTGAAGATAAAAATAAATTTATTCAAGTTATTCGACCATTATTAGTTGAACTTGTAAGTCCAACAAAAGAAAAAAAAAAATCACTTTTGTTTTTTGGTATTTAGATTGGTACAATGTTATTTGTTCTTATTGGTATGTGGGGTGCATGTTCAGGTGGTGTTCTAAATGCTGCATTAGCATTTGGTCTTGCATTAATGGTATTTGCTGCTAGTTTTGGACATATATCAGGTGTTCATTTTAATCCAGCTGTTACACTTGGTATTTTAATTGCTGGTGAAATGCAAGCTGTTATGGCTGTACTTTATGTTGTTATGCAACTTTTAGGAGGTAAACAAAAAAAATTGTTTTCAAAAACAAAACAAATTTTTTTTTATATGAAAACTTAAGGTATTGCCGCTGGTGGTCTTTTACGTTTATTACTTGCAACACGGATTTATAATGATTGTAAAGGTGGTGCAACATTATTAACAAAATATATTGTTGCAAATGAAACAAGTGTTAAAGGTGGAGTTTATGTTGCTGATTATGTTCGAATTTGGCAAGTATGTTATTAATAATAGAAAAGAAATGAATAGATATATATATATATAAATGATTTATTTTTTTTAAGGGTATTTTAATTGAATTTATTGTTACATTCATTCTTGTTACTGTCATTCTTATGGTTGTAATTGATACAAAATCTAAAACTGGTCTTGCATCAATTCTTGTTGGATTTACATTAGCCGCTAATATACTTGCTGTGTAAGGTCAAATGTTTTTGATTGAAAATGATTAATTTTTGATTTTTTAGTGGTACACTTACCGGTGGTTCACTTAATCCGGCTCGTTCACTTGGTCCAGCTATATTTGCTGAGCAATGGGAACATCATTATGTTTATTGGATTGGTCCACTTGTCGGAGCTGTTGTTGCTGGTTTTCTTTATCGGTAAACAAAAAAAAAAAAAAGTTTTTGTTTTTTTGGAAAGAAAATTTTTTTTGTTTTTGAATATTAGAACGGTTTGGGCTCATTATGATCGTCGTATGTTTGTTAAACGTACAACAACAACTGTCAAAGCATAAAAATTATAAAAAGGTTTTTTACCATTTTTTTTTTTTCTCTTATGAATATGAGCATTGTTTTTTGGAATAGTTAAAAGAAAGAGAAAAATAGACGAAAATTTATGTGTATTCGTTGTTTTGACGTGTTTATTATTCAATTCATTTTCTTTTTTTGTTTATTTTCTCATAGTTATTTTCTAATTCATCTTATGTTTTTTTTTTTTTTTTTTTTTTTGTTTTGTGTGTATATAGATTAGAATTCTCGTTAGCCTAGAAAAACATTCAATCATAAATCTTCTGTTTGTGTTTTTGTCTTTGATTGCTCAAGAAGAAAAGAGAAAGATATTCTTCTCTTGAGAATGATCATATCTTTTTCTTTTTTTTGTTTTGAAAATTGAACATCATGAACTTATATTAGTCAATTGGTTTTCTTTTTTTTTTTTTTCTTCCTCTTTGCTTCAGTGCTTGTAATAATATATGAAACAACGTTCTAGTTGAGTCATATTTAGAACAAATTGCACGCTTGCAGTTTCTTTATGTTTATTGCACTTGTGGTTATATTTCTTTGTTCTATTATTATTGTCAGCAGCTTTTTTTTTTTTCTAATAAACAAAATCATATATAACAATAGTTTCTATGTTGATTTTTGAATTTAGTAAAAACTTAGAAGGAAAAATAATTCATGTTATTTGATCATGCTTCATTCGGTTAGATGTGATAGATTTTTTTTATTTTTAAAGGCCAAACTCTTTAGTGTATAATTGACGTATGACATGAAAGGTTTAATCTTTCATAAACGACAAGATTTGTTTTTTATTTGATATGTCTCTTTTTGCCAATGAGTTCTCAAAAAGAAGCAGTAAATGTTTCTCGTGTTTTTTTTTTTTTGATCGTGAATCTCAAAAATTCATTGTACCTAATGACTTTGTTTAAGAGTATATGAAACTTCTATAAATAGATAAGTACTTTCAAAACATTGAACTTACTATTCTTTTGTTTGCATAAAAGGTAAGAATTTAAAAGAAAAAGAAGAACTCTCCCAGGCACTGTAGTCTGGCATGCTCTTTCAAGTAAAAAGAAAAAAAAAAGACATTAGACTTATAGAATAAGTGGTCGAAGAGAATTTTTGAATGGAATTTAATTAATCAATTGTGCGAAAAATTAAAATTTTAATTAGTAGTGAGTTTTATATTACAAGAAGAAGTTTTATACAAATCTACTAAAATATTAATTAATCTATTGTGAAATAATCTAGAAAAAAAGAATTTCAAATTTCTACATTTTGTTCGATTGAAATTAGAATTGTAAAATTTCTCGCATCTTCATTGTTAAATTTTTTAAAATTTATCGTTACTTTACAAATAGTTTTTTTATAATGATAATTTTTTTTTGTTTTTTTAATCACCTGTCATTTATTTATTATTAGTATTAAAAAAAAAAAATGTTCAAATATAACAATGACATGTTGAAGTAGCAACTACTAGAAAAACTACATTTTTCTTTTCTATTTCCTTCATCTTTCCTTTCAAATTTCCTGGGTAATATAAAAATAGTCATTTACACAAAAGTAATTATATATTTATATAGTTCATGAAAGTTTCTACAAGACTATTATTATTATTATTTTCTTTTTTAGAAGCTTTTAAATTTTAATAATATTCTGATTTAATATTTTAAATACAATTGAATAAATTATATACCATGTCTATATATATTGTTCAAAGTTAATATAGTTCATGAGGTTTGGAAAATTAAGATTTTTTTTTAATAATATTTGAAATAAAGATCTAGGAAATGTGTTTTTATGTTAATGATATATGGGAAAAAAATTTTTTTTCCAAGTGTATATACATAGAGTTAACCGAAAGTTCTGATAACATGAATGGTAAATATGGTCAATAGTGACATTACATTAATGTCTTCTTCTGTTAAATAATTAATAACATTCGATATGTATGAAGTCAACGATGATTGTCAAGCAATCGTTTTAACATCAATTGACTTATGACTAACCTGTCTCTATTAAGTACATGTCTGTTAGTCTACATTAATATTGAAAAAGAATGATCATAAAATATTGCTGAATTTTTACTTATATTTGTATTTATCACTGGATCGATGAGTGATCCTATATATGAATGTAACTTTTCTTATGTTTAAACAATCGTGAATAATTCATTCTACTGTACTATGAGAGAAAGACGTCTCAGCTATAGCATCATGTTAAGTGAAATGTGAATCGTTATGAATTACCTATCATATCAATTCAATATTTATATCTGTAAGCTGGTAAACTAGACAAATGAATCGATATCCATCATTTATATATTCTCTTCTTTCATGTGAACGCACTTCGAGATCATCTTGCAATTGTTGGATGATACGATAAAGTGTTAGATCTCAATGCTGTTATAGATCAAGTGAACAGTTCTTTTTATATGAGTTATATTTACTGATAATGATAGTGTACTAATTCTATTTATTAGTTGTTCTAGTTTTCAAAAAAAAGAACGGGTCACTATATTCATGAACAGCTCAGCTCTTTTGAAAAGAACTGAATAATTAATGTCAATTCAATTCTTTGATTTCGAACTGTCACAAATCTAATTATCCACCTTAAACTACAAGTTCCTATTATTATCGAATCTACTCTCGCCCTTAGCTCAATGATTTTCTCTTCATTCCAATATGCAAAAATGAATAGACTCAGTAAAAATTCTAGTTTATTTTGAAAATTTCTCTTTCATTATACCTATGTTTTATATTTTGATAAATGACCATGATATGTTTCCTATGTTTTTTTTTTCTTTGCATTGACAGACTTATTATTGTTATGAGACGATCTATTATTGACAACGTGACATTTATTCAAAGAAAAAGAGTATTTTAAAAATGAAGATAGTATAAATATCCATTAATACACTAGAAGTCTATTGTGACACTCACAACTTATTCTTGATGTGTTATCATTTACTTTACTCTTGGGTTTCATCGATAGTTTATACATGACGTTTTATCCTTCTCTTGTCATTCTTTATCTTTTACTTCTTTCTGCAATGATTATGTATCACTAATTAGTTTATCGTTTCTGTTCATATGTTTAGATTATCTTTCTTTCCATGGTCTCGATATTGCTTCTTTTTCTTTCTTGTCTCTCTTTTACTTTGTATATGAGCAATCGATGATATAGGATAAATGGGTCATTATATAATTTGATAAAAACTGTTATATCTTTGTTTAATCAAATATTATTAGTACGACTCTTATGTCTTTGACAAGATGAATGATAAGATTTCGAGTACATTAACAGAAATGAGTTCCATCAAAATTAATTGGAATATATTGAGATAAATAGTAAATAAATAAATAAATAAATAAATTTCTAAATCTTCTTAGTTTTATTTTATTTCAAGTGTTAATAATTAAACAAGAGTAAATAACAGACAGTTTGATTCTTTTTATTAAAAACTTGATATTGAAATTTGTCTATGGATCAGAAGTGAATACGACTTGAGATGTTTCTGGATTGAATGGAAGAGATGCATGTTCATGTACAATAAGCCATTGTTCATTCTGTTTTCGATAACCCATAGTTGCACGCATCCAAGTTTTTAATATTCGATGATTTTCTGGTACTTCAGTAAATCGCCAAAGCCAATGAGCAAATGCTACATTATCACTAACATGAATAATTATATCTCGAGTTTCAATCTGGAAAGATTCTGGAAAATAAGGTAAACATTTTTCCCACATTCGTCTCCATTCAATTGCACCTTTTGTTTGAAATGGAGGTTTTATATCAAAGATAATAACATCATCGGCATAGTTACTCATCATTTGATTAATATCTTTCAAGCATAAAGCATTTGTCCAATTGGTAATTAATTGTTGAATTTGAATTTCATTATTATTATTTTCAGAAATCATTTGTTTTAATTGATACAATGATTTTTTTTTTATAATCTAATCTAAAATAATAATTTTAAAATATTCAATAGATTTGAAGAATCGAATAAAAATTGTTCTAGTTTGTATTCAAAGGTTATGGATACATCAATGTCATTTAGATCTTTCATTTTGTTTAATACAGAAAATATGTTTGATGTTTATTGTTTCATCAAATCATGCATATAAAAGATATTCGTTCTCTGGTTGTAAATACACTATACTATATAGGAGAACCGTAGTTAATCGAAGGATAAATCAATCGAGAGTTGATTAATTTCTTCCTTTCTGATTGAAATCTAAATAATCGAGAAAAAAAACAACGGATAAAAGATTCAACAAAAAAAAAACAGACGCAAATATGATAAAACTTTTCTAATGTGAATACCATTGAACTCGACGAAAATTGTTTAGTATAATGAGATGATTATATTGGAGGAAATCAAGTTGAAATAAATAAAAACATAAGTTTGCCTTCGATTAAGATTATCTCTTAGTTTCCACTTCAACTTTTTCTTTCAATTAATTTCATTATCATTAATATATTCAGTTTTTTTTTTTCTTTCAAGAATATATTTTTAATAAAACACTAATAGATATTTGAAATTTATCTTTTAGTTCGTAATGAGACAAATCAAGTTCTCTATTATGATATATTATATCTAATCGATAATGTTAGTACCCATCTAAGATAATGATGACACTTGAATGCCTATCCTTCGTTTCCATTGTAGTATGATAAATCATGGAACCAATCGAATTTATTAAAATTCTGTAGCACCGATTCTCAATTTTATACAAGTAGCACCCTCTATTGACGTCCACGGTATCGGTATCCACACTCACATATCCTAAATTCTGAATTTGGGACGATGAGAAAGGTTTAAAAAAAATTGGCTGTTGTAATTAAAAGATTTCATTATCAATTGAGTAAACTGAATTTTTTTTTATCACATTGAGTGTAATCTCAAAAACACCTTTAAAGACAGACGACTGTTTTTACATAGATTTTAACTGTAAAATTCATTAGTACGATGTTAATTTCGACAATAGAGAGGACATCATTCTTTATGACAAAGGGTGTAAGTACTGATCATTTAAACTGTAGATGATTTTTATCAGACTTGAAGAAATTTTTGTAATATTCATAATGAACTCAAATCGATTTTTCTATAAAATAAACTGTTTGTAAACGTGGATCTTCTGTTCATCCATCCACAAATCTGTTACTAGATCCACGCTCGAGAAAAAGTAATCGGGCTAAGTAGCATACAGAATTGTATGTTTCGTAAGCTGAGTGTCATATTCGTGGTTTTCTAAAGTTGTCATTTTTCGGACAATAGAAGAAAATAGGTATTCATTTCAAACTGAACACTCAAGACAACAATATCATATGGTTATGATAACTCATTATTGTATCAATTTCCTTAGAATCAACTGGTTATACCAACTTATTAATTATACAACTTCTGCTAAGCTTATGAAATCTTTTTTTAGATACAAAAAATAGTTCTTGAGATTATAGATAATTTTTGTTGGATTAGTGTAAGTGTGTTGGCGGGTGGCAGTTTTCTCTTTACTTATCCTCACGTCACCTTCATTCTCAAAGACCACGAGACTCTCATAAATTTGCCACAATCCATAGTAAAATTCTCCCAACACGGTTCATAACTATTGAGTTTCGTTGGTTCTATTTCTTGATTATGCAAACTCAGAGATTTCAATAGCTTATTGTATTATTAGAGTTGATCAACTGAAAAGAAAAATAATTAAGATTAGAGAAAAAGAAAATTAGCATATCTAGTTTTGGATATCGACCATCTGAATTCGTTTGCTCGTTGTTATCGTATTGATGATTAACATAAAAGAAACAAACATTCAATAGAAAAAAGAAAAATAATTCAATTATCTAATTGTTTACAACGACGAGAAGAACTTCCAGATCATTCATGTTGATCGATGTATGCATTGCCATTGAAGTTCTCTGACTAATATAACCCTAAAGGTATATGGAAAATACAGCATCCAAAAGATCCACCCCCCCCCCCCCAGAAAAAAAGTTGAGAACAAATTCAAATCGAAAAAGAGATTATAAGTGAATGTAGATTTTCTCTTTACTTCCAAACTTTTGGTCAGTTCTAAGTATATTTGAATATGTTCAAATCAAAGAATATATTGTCCTAAAAAAACAATATGAAAACAAGCTATGATGAAGCGTGGTTTTATACCCACACATGTGGGAATTTTTTTGGGGAAAAAAATTTGTCAATCTGTGAAGGATTATTATAAAAATTCTTCATTCGATACCAGAGATGTTGACGGATTAGCCCGTTTGGCTTCAAACCGTCCGACCCGTAACCCGCGGACCGGGTTGGACCTCTAACGGATCACCGGTTAGAATTTTCCAGATTTACGGGTTACTCGGGTCGGGTTATATTTTTACGTGAATCTGCGAGTTTGACCCGATTCAACCGGTTTATGAATTTTGCTTTTCATCTTTAATTTATTCTTTCTACATAGATTTATGCACACATTCATTTCAAACTTCCTCCGATAATTGATTTTGTTTTTCTCATTAATTCTTACTTTAACATCAAAAGTCTCTGTATCATTTGTATTGACTATAGTCGTTCACCTAATTGTTTTGAAGCATACACATACCTGGATGCGCTTCTCATTTGAAATTTTGCTTGTACAAAATACTAAGTTCGATCGTTTTTTTTCTTTGCATCTTCATCTTTTCTTAATATTTTTCCCGTTTATTCTGTCTTTTTAGTTTTTTCGAGCAGAGTGCCGCAACAAAAGAATCTATGTTTTCGTATGTATATCAGTTTTTATTATAGTTTGTAGTCAATACATCAGCCAAACTTTTCTAACAAGCTCAATTACTGTCGAAAGACAGTTTTCTCAAGTTGTTCTTGTTTATTGTACTCGCAAATCACGTACAAAACCAAGCTTATTGAAAGGCTTGTTATTAGTTAGATCACTTTACAAAACGGGAATGAATGATATATAGTCTATCTAATTCTAAATTTTCTTGAACAGCTATTATTATCACCATAATAGGAGTTAAATTTTGTAATACTTATGCATGTATTCACGGATAAAAGATAATATTTTGATGGTCAAAACATTTGTGTTAATAAGACGAATAAAAAAAAAACGAATGTATCGATATACTAAACTTGTGAATTTTTCATAAATACTATCTCCATTAACCCGCGGACAGCCCGTGAAGTATCCCGCGGATCGGGTCAAAAAAATATTATTCACCAACATCTCTGTTCCATACTTATCGATAGACATTCCAATTTCTAATGTAATTTGAAAATTTCTATGAATTTTGCAATACCATTCATGACAGATGAAATTCTCACAAGTTATTCAGAACAAAAAAAACCCATTCAATCGTTTCATAATATTATTAGGCAAACATTTTGAGATATTATATAATCTATTAAAAAGAAATTCTTTACATGTTATCTATATATCAATTGTGATTTTACTTAAAAATAAAATTCTTGTTTCAGCGCCATCTTTCCTTAAGAATTTCATTGGATAATCGATTTAGTTAATATGAATATAGAGAAAAAGAATAATAAGGGGTTATGAAAAGAAGAGTATAATTACATTGTATATTTTCATTTACAATTTTTGATAATGAGTAAATCCGAGCAAAGAAAACGACATCGACAAAGTAGTGACTCAAATTCTGATGATGATCAATTAGATTCAGAAAGTATAATATTAGATTTTTATTAATATTTATTATTATTTTTCATTTTTTTTTTTTTTTTTTTTTTTTGTTTATAGAAATAGATGTTGATGGTTATGATGATAAATATCTTGGTAATGCAGAAGATCGTGCATGGTTAAAAAATTTATCTGAACGTGAACGTGAAGCAGAATTATTAAAAAGACATGAACAACGTGAAGTATTAAAACATCAGTAAAAGAAAATAATTTTTATATCTTTAATATATATATATATATATAAATAGATTTTTCTTTTCTTAGTGAAGAAATAAGTAAAAAACTTAAATCAAAAATAACAAATCATGATGATATTAATAATGAACCAAAAATAAAAACAAATTTATTTGGTGATATTAATATATATGCACAAGATGATGATGATGATGATTATTCATCAGCTAATCGTCGAAAACAAGTTAATGCATCAAAACAACAAGAAACACAACATAGTAAATCATTAAAAGTTTTAATTGAAGAACGAAAGAAAAAACAAGGTTATTTTGAAAATCTAATTGTAATTTTATAACTTGATTATATTTATCTATGTATTATAGATGAAAAAATAAAAAAATCTCTTCCAAAACCCGTTGATCTTTCATCTAGTGATGATGAAATTAAAGAAAAATCAATTAAATCAAAGAAAACAGAAAAATGGAAAGTAGCTGATGTTTATGCAACATCAAGTTCTGACGATGAAGATGATCATCGTCGACGATCTCGGTTTTATTTTAAAAAGAAATTTTTATTTTTTTTTAATGAATTAAATTATTTTCTTCAGATCACCTGATGATCATGAGAAAGATTCTCAAAAAGAAGAATCTAGAAATAAAAGATTAACACGTATAACAACAAAATCTGAATTAAAACCAATGGTTTTATCTCGTTTTCGAATGGAAAAGTAAATCATTTCTTTTTTATTTCGAAAGAATAATTTATAATACTTTTAACATATAGATGGTGTCATGCACCATTTTTTGCTGATGTAGCAAAAGGTGCTTTTGTTAGAATTAATATTGGACAAAATAATGGTAAACCGGTTTATCGTGTAAAATTAATTAAAAATTCTTTATTAATTTATCAATAAATATTTTATTTTTGTTAAGGTTTGTGAAATTCGTGATGTTGTTGAAACAGGTAAAATCTATAATCTTGGTCCAACACGTACAAATAAAGGACTTCGTTTAAAGTATAAACAAAAAAAAAAAAGAAAAACGAACAAAATCATTGAAATTCTATGATTTGTTTTTTTTCTTCTTAGACATGGACATAATGAACGTGTATTTCGTCTTGAATTTGTTTCAAATAGTGAAATATCCGATTCAGAATTTAAACGTTGGCGTGAAACATCAATTAAACAGGTTAAATATTAAAAATCAAATAAATTTCAATAAAAGAAATACTTTTCTTTTTAGAATATTCCATTACCAACATTAGAACAAGTTGAAAATAAAAGAAAAACAATTAATAAATTTAAACATTATGTTTATAGTAATAGAGAAATAACAAAAATTGTCGAAGAAAAAAAACGTTTTCGAAAAGCACCAATTAATTATGCAATGACAAAACAAGAATTATTTAAAGATCTAGTAAAAACAAAAAAAGATATTTCTTTAAATATTTATAAATCTATTTAGGAAATAGCAAGAGATGAAAATGATACTAAAAGAGAAAATGAATTAAAAAAAAAATTAGATGAAATGGAAGAACGTGCTTCTGAAATCGATCGAATACGAAAAGCAAATAATTCAATTTTAACGTAAGTAATTATAATCATAAAATTAGAATTTTTTTAAAAATATTGAATAAACTTCTTCGTACAATAGAAGATTCGAATTGAGAGATACTGTAGAATGTTGCCAAAAATTTCGATGATGTAACATATCATTTAAAATTAATTTTATTTTATCTTTTTTTTTTGTTTTTTTTCTTCCAGGCAAATCAATCGACGAAACCGAAAAAGTACGCAACAAAATGTTGAAAATGCTTTAGTTGTAAATAAATATATTTTAAAATTAATCATAATAAATCTTCAAATTAATATTATTCTATAGCGTGAAGCTCAAGAAAATCGAAATGTACAAGCTGATCCATTTACACGTCGTCGATGTGCACCAATTCTGGTTTCAAAAGTTAATATTAATATTCAAAAAGAGAAAAGAACAGTTTAAATAATTAATTTATTTTAGGCTCAACAAACTAAAGACGAATTAATTCGAGAATTACATATGCAACGTGCAGCTGATGAAGAAAAAGCAAAGAAGAAACGTGAAGAAGTATGTTTATTAGTCAAGAAAAATTAAAACTATATGTATTTTTTTGTTTTAGGAAGAACAAAAGGCTAAAAAAGCAGCAATTACAACAACTCAAATATCAATTCATAGACAGATAGTAAAAAAAAACGAATTGATTATTCTGTGCATGAATATTCAATTAGACATTCCTTTTTCACCGAAGTTAAGCATATTGAGTAAAAACCAATTCGTATTGAGTTCAAGATAATCATAAAATGATTGATTCCAGATAAACTTAGCGGTTGAATGGCTATCCCGATAGATATTTGACCTTTTTTTTTTTTAAAACAAAAGAATTAGTTGTTTCTAAGAATCTTTCAGTTTTATTAAGGCCACCCTCCTCAAAATGATCGAAATTGAGATAACCTCATGGGGATATAGCTCGTCAAATGCTCTTTCATAAATGACAAAAGCTTTTACTCAACACTTCTTTTTTTCCGAAAATTCTGGAAGATTTTTGTCACCCCCTATTCGAAAAATAAGCGGTTTTTACAAAATTCGTTTTTCTCAGAACATGGGTTCAACGACGTATCTCCAGCAGAACTCCATCACAGTAAGAGATAAAGCCAAATATTTTTTTTTGTTTGAAAGCTTATGTGCAGGGCTAGCGACTCTCGTGGCCCTTTTTTTAAAATGAGCTTTTTTATTATCATATAAGATAACATCTCTATTGAAGCAGCACAATTTTTAGAGAGGTTTTTTGAGTCATTGAACTTTCGCTCCGATTTTTTCCTCTAAAAAGTAAGACTTTAAAAAAAAGGGCCACGAGAGTCGCTGCATTCTGACATGCTCTTTCAAACAGACAAAAAATTAAATGTCTAGAATGAAGACCCACAGAGAAAACTTGGAGATACTAAAAAAAGCTATTTTTGCCCCTTGTTTGGTGCATATCTCGGTTAAACATCGTGCTATAGGGCTGAAAATTTGACCATAGCCATGTCTCACCAGCCCCAACATATCCTGAAATTTTCATGTCATTTGAATGTTCCTGGGCTGAGATCGATTTTTGAGGGGGGGGGGGGGGGGGCCTTAACCTTTTCAGGCCTATGGCTCAGCCAACGGATGAAATTTCTTTGAGACTATATATTTAATATGGGAGGCAGTGTGTGTTGTGAATATTTCTCATCAAAAATTTTTAATAAACCTTCAGATTCCTTTTCGACCCATGCCTGTACTCTCATATGGGGATGGCGAAGAAGTTTTTTAGAATAGAGGTAGTGTTCCAAAAATCCATCAGGCTTACTACTTGAGTGACTGCGTTAGGATTATAACTCGTATATAGATATATGCACCGAAGTCTCCTCTATGTAATAGAGAAAACCGCTTCTCAATATCTCTTTGCATTCGCGAATTATTCAAAGATTAAGATACTCGAAAAAACCGTATTTTATAAAGTACACTGCTACTTAAAGGATTAATTATATATTAGTTGATTTATAATTTTCGATATGATGATAAAGGCAATAAGAAGACCATAGTTTGTAATTACATTATGAGAAATTTTTCGCATGATGAAAGAGAGAGTCTCGCTAAATGATAATTTACTTTAAAATAAATTCTATTGAAACTAAAAAAGATCTAAAAGAATTTATGTTCATAGCTCTTTATGTCTGAGTTATTGATTATTTTAGTGAGATTTTCGAAAAAAAAAGCATCGTATTTTCCCCTGTAAAATCAATTATTGAGTTCAAATTTTATATAGATCAAGTATTCAATGATGACTAATTCATTATGAAAGTACCAGATGTTCTAGTATCTCTTATCTTGAAAGAGAAATATATAAGTATCAAGTTTACTTCATATAACAAAATTTTCAAAATTGATATCCGAAGAGAGAGAGAGAGGAGATGCTAAACTCATTAAAATAGCCATAATTCAAGAATAAAGATTCTAAGAAGATCTGAATTCTTTTATTCATATGACAGAGATAAATATTTATGGTTTACAGTGTGTGTGTGTGGTATTGAATTTAACATTTACAATTTCATAGAAGATCGATTTTGAATATTAATAATGATAGTTTAGTCATCTTCAATTAAGTACTAAAAGAATAGATTTCTCAGATCGATAGTAAACAGTCTAGATATCTGAAAAAACTAATTTCAAAATTGAAGAATCCATCAGAAACATTTAATATACTCTTTTGAATATTTCATAACAAAGGGAGAACAGCAGACTAATGTTCGAATAGAAAATTTCGTTGCGGATGTCAAAGTACGAAGACTCTAACGACATGAACTTTGTTTTCCATATTGAGATATTCTCGTCAGAAGAAATAATCAATGTTGACCTTCTAACTCTTTCGTATAAAGGTCAATCAATTAATCCTAACATTCAGAGTTCAACATATTCTATTTATAATCAATATCAAATACTTATTCAATTGATTTTGAATAACTAATATATTTGTTTTCTATTATTATTTTAGTCTTCAGAAAGAAAACTTCCAGCGGTGACAAGTCATGAACGTGGTTCATTTACATCATTTGCTGATAATAATGATGAACTATTTACATCACATAATTTTGAACTTGATGTTGTGATTAAAATTCTTCCTGAATAGTTTTTTTTTTTTTATGTTTTTTTTTCTTCTTTCATATATATATATATATATAAAAAAAATTAATATTTTTATTTCAGATAGATTCATTTGTTTGTTTATTTTATGGAATATTCAACGCATGTATTTATTCAACAATCACCTATTACCGAACAAAATTTTGAATCGAAGTAAAATTTTGTTCTTTTTTTTTTTTTTTTTTTTGTTAAATTCAAAATGAAATTTTTATTTAATTTAATAGACTTCAAGATATATCAGATCAAATAACAACAAATGGTTGTATATGTTCAAATGTATTTGCTCCATTTACAAATCTTGCTGTACAACAAGCAGTAGTTTCATCAAGACATATCGCTTTTTTACTTCAAGTAAATTTTTATTCTACTAAAAAGAAAAAAAAAAAGAAAACGATCCTATTGAATTAAGTGACCTATTCTAAATTGAGAAATTAATATACACCATGTAATTCGTAGTGTGTATTCACAGAAGGATTATTGGTATCAGTCAAAAGTGTTAGTAAATTTTCCTTGTATACAATTTTGTAGAGCTATATTTTAACATTTATCATTCTATTTTTGATAGAAAAAAATGCGATTTTTTAATAATTTATCGTTGTGATCTGTATAAATTGTCCGCAAATTTAGCCATCAAATATTCATCTTGAGAAATTTTCAAATAGTGTTTGCGGGCAATTTATACGGATCACAACGATAAATTATTAGAAAATCGCATTTTTTCCTATCAAAAATAGAATGATCAGAGATATTCAATATAGACCCAGAGCATGGCTCTAGTTCGGATTTAAAATCATACCCAGCAATATATGAAATCTCGATATTTCAAAATATTTTTAATTTTTTTCTAAACTGCTATTTATATAAAAGTATAGGAATAGAAACCAGTTCGATCATGATTAAGGAGGCCTTCTCCTCAAAAATGAAACTTTTTTTTCGAGCATCCAATCTGGATGAAATTTCCAGTGAAGGTGTATCTTGATCTAGACACCTCACAGTAAGAATTTCAGCTCGATAGATTGAGTCTACGAAGAGTTAGCTTAAGATTATAGATGAAAATTTAGGTTTCCGTGCGTCTCAAATTTCTCCGCCATTTCAAATGCTAGAAAGGTCGGGTTGGTTTTAAAATGTAGCCACGATGTGGCACTACAACTTAATAGAGTCTGATTTTTCAATTTTCTCTTAGCTTGTGTTTTTAGAGAATTTTCCTGATGAAGTATGAAAAATCTAAGGGATATAGGTTCAGAATAGTTAATTTTTTATAAACATTAATGAGGAAATCAAAAAGTTCGACTCTGTTAAATTGTAGAGATAATTTTTGCCTTTCTTTTGACACCAAGCCCAGCTTTCTAGCGTTTAAAATGACAGAGAAATCTGGAACGCACGAAAACGTAAAAATCAAAAAATCCTATTTTGAAGAAAAACGTTATTTTCTTCTTTGGAACGTCCAGAAAGACCTATGTAATATCCTTAAATCTCATCACAAAATCAATAGACTATAGTGCATTCAATAACTAGACGCTTTGCTCTATCTAACGAGCTAGAAATCACAAAATCGACTTTTTTTAGGGGACTTCTCAAGTAATTTATTGTACTTGAGAATAGGTCACAGAAGTGAAAAGCGATATTGTTTTACTCGGAGAATTCGCTTTTAATGGAAACTCATCTATCGATAATAAGAAATCATATGAAGATGAACATGTATTATGGCGACGGAGAAAACATTCATATATGTAACCATAATTATGACATCTACACTGCGTTCTATTCCAGTGTTATCAGCAGCAGACAAACGTATATTTAACGAAATCGATTGGATTTTTAGAAGCAGAAAGACACTAAATGAATTCTGAATCGCTTGCGTTTGTTTTTTTTTTTGTTGGATTTGAGGTGATCCCTTTTTCTATTGCTATTTATGGAAGAAACTAAGTAGTATACTTTTTCATATAAAATAAAAATTTGAAAACTACTATAACTGTAAAGGTATCTGCCTAGTGGCAATTAGTCCCGGGTACGATTTTTCGCACACATGCAGAATATTATTTACAAACACTTTTGACTAATACTAAGAACTACTATGATCAGTAGTAAATTGACTTCAGATCGTTCAAAATCTTATGAAAATAAAATTTACTATATACTATTCGATATATCTCGATTTACTCTACAAAATGTTATATATTTGATTTCTCAATTTGGAATCGGTCACCTAATTCAATGTCATTCTTTTTATATTTGATCATTGAATATTAGGATGGTCGAATATGTCGTGTATCATTTCGTATACAAGCTGATAAAATTGAATTAAATCCAACAGATACAACAAAAACTAAAGTTAAACATGTATCTTCTCAAATAACTCGTTCACAATCACGTCAATCAATTCATCGTTTAAATAATTTTGATCGACCAACATTTGAAAATCTTGTTCTATCATCAAATTCATCTATTACTCCTATAACGAATACAAATGGACAAATTGATTTATTACCACAATTACAAACTGGTTATCCATTAAATCGACAACGACATCATTTAATTCGTACAGCACGTGGACGAACAGGAATTATATTTGGTTCAAGACCTATAATTCCAGCATCGAATGTACCCGATGAATTAATTGAACAAGTAATAGAAAAATAATGAGAGATTCTTTTTTTTTAAATGAGTTTTATTTATCTTTTTTTTTTTTTAAGGTTCAAGTTGTTCTTCAAGGAAAATCACGAAATATTATTCTACGAGAATTACAAAGAACAGTTAGTTGAATTTGAAGAAAAAAATAAAAAAATTTATTAACGCTTTTTTTTCTTTTCTGTTTTATAAATAGAATTTAGATGTTAATATGGCTGTAAATAATTTACTTGCACGTGATAATGAAGGTGATGAAGATTTTGATGATGATTATGTTGGAGGTAAGAATTATTTCATTTTTTCTTCTTATTAATAAATTTCATTTAATGTTTCTTTTTTCAGCTGATCTCATTTCATTACTTGATGTTAATCCACATAGTGAACATCCTGGAATTATACTTGAATCAGAATTTTTCGATGAATCTGATTTTCCTTTACGATATAGTAATATTCAACGAAGAGTTGTTTCAGCAAGAATTGCTAGTAGTGGTATGTATTTATTATTTGAGATATTTCATGTTCTCAATGATAGTAGAGAAAATTCTGATATGATGTTGATTGCATCAGAGTAACAACCCTCGTGGTCCTCCCATAGTTTTCGTTTGGTTTTGGTTAAAAGGGGGAAAAAGCTCAGGGAGAAAGTCTCCCAAAACTAGGGAGAAACAGTTCTTTACATTAATTTTTCTGTAATAAAACGTATTCGTGGTCGAAAAAGTCAGAGCGCCTTGTCTCAATTTTAGAAATTTGCTTTTTCTATTTTTCGCGGTAACAAACTTTTGAAAAAATTTCAAATGAATGAAAACAAGTTTATTTACTCTATACCTTTCATTTCGAATGATTTTCTCTTTGAAATTTACTGTTTTCTCTTTCATTTCGAACATGTTTTCCTTGGAAATTTTACTGTTTCTCTTTCATTCCAAACGGTGTTAGAAATCAGTGAGTGCTCGTACAAAATTTCCAAGGAGAAAGTCATAACATAAAAAATTTTAGATGAGGAAAATCCTCTAGCTTCCCCCGTCTAATCGTACGTCCTGAAACTGATCCATTTTCTTTTTGGATCTGGACTATTTTCTCTTTGGATCTGAGATATTTCTCTTTGGGTCTGAGCTATTTCTCTTTGAAAGTGATTCATTTTCTCTAAACCATTGAGTAAAAACGGTTAACTACTCGTGATGAAAATTTTCAGGAAGAAAGCTATAACATAAGAAAAAATTTAGAGGGGGGAAATCCCCCCGCTTCCCCTTCCTAATCGTATAGCCTGGATATGATCCAGCTATTTTTAACCCTTGTTCGGTGAATATCTTTGTCAAACATCGTGCTATAGGGCTGAAACTTTTTCTATAGTCATCGTGCATCAATCTCAATATATCCCGAAAGTTTCATGCAATTTGAATGTTTCTGATCTGAGATCAATTTTTGAGGGGTAGGCCTTAAATAGATAATTCTCATGCCTATCTTCTTTATAGGAATAGCCTTTGACATCAATGAATAGTGTTTGGTTTACGAAAGAAAAATTCACAATGGTCATCTATCGTTTCCTAGAGAAAGTACTGAGAAAATCTCAGCAAGATACTCGATACGAGTACTTCAAAAAAATCTCAGTAATTATACTGATGTAGGTACTGCATTGGGTACCCATAGCAGCATACTTACTGAACAAGTACTTGTATGAGTACTCGCACCTGTCGTTTTACTGAGGAAAGTTCTATAGAGTATCCTAGATTTGTCGCGTTGTGTGTATCAACTGTTCATTCACCGTTTTCTTTTGCACACACGGCTTCATATTACTAATTTTTTCTAGATAATTTCTTGACTATTTACTAGTCGAAAACATGCCGATTTCGATCGTAAAATTGAGAGAAGACTACCTTGAAGTGATCTGATGGAGATCCGACCAACTCAAGACTGGTCAGATTCCGAAATTTGATCTGCTTGAATTTCCAGAATTGGAAAAATTAAATTAAATAAAATCGAAAAAATATCATAAATTGCTTTGAGAGGAACAAAAATGAAAAAAGTCAAAGGTTAAGTTCGATCATCAACATACTGCAATTTTAGCAACAGGTTACCTAAAAATACTGTATAATAGTACCCAGTTGAGTATTTGATCAGTACCTTCAAGTATCCATTTACTAGACACTTTCCAGCAGGATACCCGCCCCAGTATCTTATACGTACCTAAACGTATTTTAAGATACTTCAGGTACCCTTAGTTCAGTACATTCACTAGGGCACCACATTTGCGCGGTGAAGGTTGCATCATCTATTGATTTTTCAACAGTATGAAATAGAATTTCATAATACATACATTTCATTCAAGAAAGTCTTTCTCTACAAACCTACATATATCACATTCGTGGATCAAAACTTTGTAGTTATCTTTCTACTTGTATACTTCAATATTCCTTTTAGATCGTATTTAACAAAATAAATATCTACCAACAAAAAAATTTTTATTTTTATTCTAGTAAATAATATTTCATCTTCATCATCTACAATAAATTCTACTCTTGGTGGTGAACAAGCAACAACAAATCCTTCAATAGTAAATTCATCTACTACAGTTACATCTTCAACAACATCAAATGATCGTGATCGTAAACGAACACGTTATGATCCACGTTGGCTTGATGGTTCTTTACGTGAAGAAATTTTTAATCGTATTGATCGTGAATTAAAACCTGATGATTTATCAATAGTTAAAGATTCAAATATTAAAATAAATACATCTATACGAAAAGATCAATCTCAACATTCTACATCAAATACAACAACAAATTTAACATCATCATCATCATCACAAAATCCAATTATATTTAGTGATCAATTACAATTTTGGACTGATACAAATTCTAATGAAATCTATCCACGTTTTACACATATAGCATGTCTTTATTCTGAATTAATTGCTATAAATATAAATGGACAATTATGTCAATGGAATTGGCATGATGATTATCCATATCAAGATTATGATAATTTACAAATAAAACATTCAAAAACTTTAATATTACAATTATTAAATGAAAAAATAACTAATCTTTCTGCTAATCTTATTCGTGCATCAATATTAACAGAAACAAATCGTATAGCAACATGGATTGATGAATCATTAGGTACACAAGTTAATCTTAAATTTCAACATTCATTACAAAATTTTTCATCTATACGTATTATTGATATACAAACATCACCATTATATACAATATTTCGAACAGATACAAATGATTTATATTGGTATGGTTTATTACCATATAAACCACGTAAAAAATTACTTGAACGTTTAAAAGATAAAACACGTCAAAAAAATCGTACAAATACGCAACAACAACAACAAATTATAACAGTTGGTTGTTCGGTTTGTTTAATATCAAATCCATATTATAATCAAGGTGCTTGGGCTTTTTATATACATAATGGACAACCAAAATTAGGACAATTAATGGAACAAGCATGGATATTATCAAATACAGCACGTTTTCGTATAAAAACATATGATTTTATAACAAATAAAATTCGATATGAAAATGATGATAAAAGTTCATTAGAAATGCCTCCACCACCATCACCAGCATCATCAACATGTAGTGTAGATTCAAATACAAGTTTTGTATCATCATTAAAACGTAAAAAACAACATACTAATTCAACAATAGGAACAAATTCATTTTTAACAACAATTGATGATAATGATTTAAATGAACAACATAGTAAAATAAAAGATGAAGAATATTGGCCATTAGATGAAGTTATTTTTATTGAAGATTGTCGTGTAGCACCAATTGGAAAAGTTATGAAAATTGATGGATCACTTGTACTTGTTAAATTTCCATCACAAAATAATAATGATACAAATATTGATGGAAATAATCTTGAAAATTGTCGAATTCTTCGAAAAGATGATCTTCTAGTAGGTGAATTTTAATATAAAAGAATTAATGTTTTCCTCTACACAATAGATTTACCAATTATGAGGGAAAAGGTCTTCAATTGATATATTGCTTTTGAATCTTCTTTGCATAGAAGTAGATCTTAATCAGACTAGTTTATTGTGAAAGTTTCAGATCTTCTGATTATTTCGATTCTGAAAATCTGAAACTTTCACAATAGATTAATAGATCTACTTCTATATAAACTTTCAAGTGTGAAATTCAAAACTCAATTTTCCTGATGTCGCCTTTGAGTGGAAAACAGAGTCCAGACTCAAAAGTGACGTATTAGTTAGGAATCTTTCTTCGTTATAACCCTAGTGAGAAACGCTTCTGGTAAAAATTTCAATCCGATAGGTCAAACTAAAGTGAACTTATGACCTTTAGGAGAATCTCTATATAACAAGAGCTACAAAACTCTCACGAGAGAACGTTTTTAACTGTCCAATTACTTTTGAGTTCAGACTCTGTGCATATGGTAGACCCGAGTGAGATATGAAAAGTGCTCTTAGGCCTTCTGTTCAGAGTTATAGGCATAGTAAATATTAACAAATCGAATGGCAGTATTTCGACCTATGATTTTGCTCAGACACAGATCTAGTTGTGAGTAGGATATCCTGAAAATTTCAGTTTAAAAGAATGTTTCCTTTCCGAAATATTAAAGTCCCAAAAATCATTCATATACCACGGAAGATGTTAGAATTTTCTGTTTTTTTTGAAATTTTAATATGTCGGAAAGGAAACATTCTTTTCAGCTGACGTTTTCAGGATATCCTACTCACAACTAGATCTGTCTGTAGGCAAAATCTCAGATCGAAATATCACCATTCGATTTGTTGGTATTATACTCTGCCTGTAACTCTGAACAGGAGACCTAAGAGCATTTATGCTTTTAGAATTTTTCATATTTCACTGGCGAGGGAACCTTCCGATGTGTTAAAAAGCTTTTGAGCTCAAATTTTGTCCATAAGTAGGGGATATATAGACTAGAAAAGGCCTAAGATGATATCGGTCCAAGTTGCGATTTGGCTGAGATATCAGCTTTTTACTAGAATTTTCCTACAGGACTCCATTTTCCCGATAAGATGAAAGTTTCGAGTTTTGAAATGAAATTTTGCCCATATCAAGATCTCAACTAGAGTGGCTTATCTACAAAGTTTCAAAGTTTTTAGACTAAGCATTACCGAGATATGAGCCTGTTATCATGAACACGCTTTTTACGGATATCCTCTTACGCATAGATATTTTGAAAATATTATATCTCGGTAATGCTTAGTCTAAAAACTTTGAAACTTTGTAGATAAGCCACTCTAGTTGAGATCTTGATATGGGCAAAACTTCACTTCAAAACTCGAAACTTTCATCGTATCGAGAAAATGGGGTCCTATAGGAAAATTCTAGTAAAAAGCTGATATCTCAGCTAAATCGCAACGTGGGCCGATATCATCTTCGACTTTTTCTAGTCTATATATCCCCTACTTATGGACAAAATTTAAGTTCAAAAGCTTTTTAACACCTCGGAAGGTTTCCTCGTGAGATCTATCTGATGTACAGTGTCTAAACTCAAAAGCGATTGGATATTTGAAAACGTTCCTTCGTCAGGGTGATTTCAAACGAATGTCAGTACCTATGCTCAGTTTTCATCCGAACAGAACTTTAAAATTCACTTTCATTCATTTTAGTAAATATAGTGTTAAAATAATAAATTGATAACACGGAAGAATCCTTCAAATTATTCTCTGTACGGAAGAACTTCTCAGATTTTATGAAATCCGATGCATACAGTGCTAGGAAATATTCAACAAATTCTAAACAGACTCGAAGATAGGAAAACGTACTATCATTGATTTCGCTGTTAAAGTCAATTTTAAAATGCATAGTTACAAATTGTCTAGTAGTCTTGAAAGCTACGATTACGATAAACTTTTTTCTGACATCGGCTATGTATATTTGTTAAGAATATTCCCTTTCCTGACTCGTCATAAAAACTATAAACCATTAAATTTACATAACGCAAATTGAACTCGATATAAAATAAATGGAAGCGAATCTACGACATCCAGTACATCATTTCTCTTAGGAGAGTTGTATCTAAATGAACGAAAATTCGTTTTGAAGAAAAATAGATTCATTCTTTTTCCTATATATAGGTCATTAAAGGTAATCAAATTCCGAAAACTCCCGATTATTCATTATCACTTTCAAATGCAAAACGAATATCATTAGAAAATGGAACATTATTAACATTTTCAGTTGATAAAGATTGTAAGTAAATATAAATTTATTTTTTTTTTATAAATCAATCATATTCATTGTTGTTTTTTACTTTTCATTTTTGTTTTGTTTTAGATCTTCATACATTACAATTACGTGATACAACTATTTACTATATTATGTATGAAGTTGGAAGTAATAATGGTTTATGTCGTTCAATACGACAAAATAATTTACCATTAATTAATAATCGTCAATCATTATTATCATTTATTAATGAAAATAAAAATTTTTTACATTTATATACATTAAATTCAATTGATATTTCACATATATTAATTGATAGTAATCATTTAATTTATCCATTAATTTATAATCAAGATAAAACAAATATAAAAGATCCACAATGGAAAAATTTATTACCAATTAATTATTTTTCACAAGGAATAATTCCATTAAAAATTAATGATAATTTAAATAAAAATCATATTATATTAAATATAATGCAAATACAAAAAGGAATTTTAATTCCACATATATTACGTTATGATATTGATAAAATACGTTCAATATTAAATGATATTGAAATAAATAAAAATTATGATTTATTAAAATTAATTTTAGATGAACATATAGATGGTTATAGAAATATATTTCATGCTTGTGTATATATTTCAATACCAATAACAAATAAAGAATATTTAATAAATGATGAACAAATTCAAAATGAAACAAATAATAATCTTAAACGTATTTCATTTGCTATTGATTTTCTTCATTCACAAACAAATACAGATCATAATGAAGTAAATTCAACACGAATAAATAATTCATCGAATATAAATGAACAATCTATTAATGCATGGCCACCATCAACGAATGAATCTTCAACTTCTACAGATGTACAATCATTATCATCTCCAATAATGTCACCTGGATCGGCATCAAATTTTTATAGAGTAAGACTCTTGTGAAACACAATCGAAAAGAAGTGTTGAAATATAGGGATAAAAATTTGGACCCCAGGCAAGCCGTGACTAGAGATGTAAGCCGAGAGCCGCAAAGTTTTTAAGATATGTCAGCTGTCTCAACGCAAAACTAAGTGTTTGATTGTTACAAATTTCCGACGTCTCGAATCAGTTTTGAGAGATGTTACCATTTAGTTTCTTGTCAATAAGTTTTCTATCATCATTTTCATTTCAAAGTTCTTCGAAATTATGAAATTAAGAAAAAAAAATTCATCGAAAAATTTCAGTTACAACCATCAAATTTACAAATATTTTTAGTTGCCGCCATCGACAGACTAAGCATAACTACTAAAAGAATCATATCACACTTCTTGCTAGCAAATATATTGCTAACACGAGAAGATCTTCAAGTGATCCATCACTTTTGAAGTCAGGACTATATGTATTATGTAAATCATAATGAACTATGAATATTCTGAAAAGAGTTCGGATCCATAGGTCGAGATACTGCATTTGTACGGTATTTTCTAACGAGAGAACATTCTCAGATGTCTCACTCCGATTTCATTCATTTATATATCATTCGATAGGGAATCTCGAGTAGAAGGATTGCAGCCGACGATTTTTTCTTCAGGGCAAAGGGAGCACTGACGCCTACCCTCACACTTACATCCTTACTGAAAGAAATAGCCTATAATTCGAGAAAACAGAGTGATAGAATTGTGAAACTTTTAGAGTATATGGAGGGCTCTTAAGACTATCATCGAAAGAAATTTCAGCTTTCAATGAGTTTCCTTGATGGAGTTATGAATTTGTCTTTTTATGCTAGTTTTCGCTAGGAAAATCAGAAAACTCATCGCAACTCTGAAGAAAAAGTCGTCGGTCAGAACCCTTTTAGGCTTTTTATCTACTCGAGGTTCTCTATCGAATGATATACGAACGAATGAAATCAGAGCAAGACACCTGGAAATGTTCCGTCGTAAGCACAGTACCTTAGTCTCCCGTCAGGAACACCAGAAAAACTGAATTTGGAATTTCAACTTGAAGCTTTGTATAGTGACAGATCTGAAAGTTTCAGATCTTCTGATCGTTCCTATTCTAAAATAAGAACCTCGAAATCTATCAATGTGTACAAGTATACTTTTACCATAACTGTATCCTAGGTTAGAAACAACCAAGAGATCTAAAACTTTCACAATAAACTATTCCTCATTAAGACCTATCACTATACAAGGTCTCAAGTCAAAATTCCAAATGCAATTTTTCTGAGGAACACGATGGCATTATGCTTAAAAAGTTCCGTAAAAATATAGTATCACGGTAGTAATAAGCTATGAACCCGAATTCTTTTCAGGATATTCATAACTCATTATAGCCTACATAATGCATATAGGTGACAGATCATTCGAAGACCTTCCCTCGTTAGCACGAAACTAAAAACAGATAGTCCTATTCATGAATACATCTCTTCAACTTGTATGTTAAGGTTTCTTTGTAAGACCATCACCTATGCTTGTAAAGTATTTTCATGTCGTTGACATTGAGTATTTTTTTTTTTCATTCTTTTCAGAGTTTATCAAGTGGTGTAACAACAAATGCTGGTTCATTATCTCCATCATATACATCATCAAAAGTTCAACATCTTCAAAATCAAGTTATTCAACAACAACAAAATTATTCATGTGGATCTATGATAAATTCAACATCAACAATACGTTCAATACGTTCAAATTCCAATGATTTTTCTGTATGGTCATCATGTAAATATGATGAACGTGAAAAACGTTTACGTGCAATAAAAATTCTTCGTCTTCTTCTTGATTATTCATTATTTCAAGACTATCTTTTATCATTACTTAGTTTTCGTAATTTTGAAGGACAAACACCATTTATGTATGCTATTAATACACGTGCTTATCATAGTGCATTAATTTTATTTGAATATGCTAGAAAAATAGCTAAACATGAATCATCCTATGAACAATCATCATCATCATCATCATCATCAGTAGAATTTTTTCTTGAATCATCTTCATTTGAAACAATAAAATTATCTTATAAAAATTTTTTACTTCGAATGATTTATCCATTAACATCAATAAATTCTGATTATTCACCATTATATACAATATGTACAAATGATACATGTTCATTTACATGGACAGGTGAAGAACATATAAGTCAAGCTATATTTGAATGTAAAACATGTGGTCTATCAGGTACATTATGTTGTTGTAGTGAATGTGCACAAACATGTCATAAAGGACATGATTGTCGTTTAAAACGTACATCACCAACAGCATATTGTGATTGTTGGGAATTATGTAAATGTAAATCATTAATATCTGGTGATCAACAAAAACGTTTTGAATTATTTAAATTATTATTAAATGAAATAAATCTTATTGAAATTAAAAATTTACATTATGAAAATTTATTATTATATTTAGTACAAACAGTTGGAAGACAAATTATTGAACAACAACAATTTATTCGAACATCAACAACTACTATATTACAACAACAAGCAAGAAAAACACGTGAACAATTATTAAATAATACATCAATTATAACAGGATTAAATCCATTAACAAAAAAATTACAAAATCAAATAATATCATCAGGAATAACAAATACAAATCAAAATATATCAAATTCTATAGATTTAGATACAAATATTCAAATGAATAATATTCCAGATCATCATTTAGAACCACCACAATTTTGTAAGAGTTTATTTTCTAAAATTCTATTATTTTAAAAACAAAAAAATACATTTACGAACTTATGTATTATTGTGATAAAAGAAAATATGTGCGAGTACTTTATTATTCATAAATAATTTTGAAGAACTAGAATAAAGAAATTTGAATAGCTCTTGAAATTCTCTATCGAATAGAATATCTCTCAAATTTTCAGAAGAAACTTTGTCAAGAGAGTTTTACAGAAAATCATGCCAGAAGAATTTCAATTCCTAGAGAATTTCGATAGAAAGATTTTTCAATAGAAGCATTTGAAAGAGTAGAAAATTCTCAACAAAATAAAGAATCGCCCACCTCTGTACAATATTCCGTCATAAAGTTATGAGCATTAGAAAAAAACGGGAAAATGCGATTTCAAGGCCCCCCCCCCCCTTAAAAATCGATCTCGGCCCAGGAACATTGGAACGAGCTGAAATTTGGAGGATATGTTGGGGACATTAAGGGTAGTCTATGATAAAATTTTCAGCCCAAAACTATTCCATTTAAGGGAGATATTAACCAAACAAGGTCGAAAAATAGCTAATTTGGCAATCCAAATTTCTCTGTAACGGTTCGTCCAATATATAAATATTTTTTTTTTGTTTGAAAGAGCGTGTCAAAATGTAGGGCACTACGTCGCCCTTTTTTTGAAATACTCCCTTTTTAATTGGAAAAAAGAGGTTGTAAGTTCAATGACTAAAAAATTTATCAAAAAATTGTAGTCGAATTATATCACTGAGTTTATATTGACTAAAGAAAAGGGGTATTTCGAAAAAAGGGCGGCGTAGTGCCCTGCATCTTGACACGCTCTTTCAAACAAAAAAAAAATATTAATATACTGGACGAACCATGACAGAGAAATTTGGGATGCGCATACGAGAAAGCGAAAAATGAGAAAAAACGAAAAAGATTTTTGGATACTTCAAAAAGCCGCTGATTTTTCAAAAACTGGTTCTCTGAAATTCTGAATTTCTAGGAAAAATGTTTACCAATTCTGAAAGAGCAGACGACGGACTATTTTCCTATGTATTTATCTCAATTTTGCCAGTTCTCACGAAAATTGACTTTTTTTGAGGGGGGGGGGGGGCTTAATTGAATTTTAGGGTTTTTTTTGATAGAAATCGACGAAAAACGCGTTTTTTTCTAATGCTTATAACTTTATGACGGAGTATCGTGCAGAACTGGACGATTCTTTATTTTGTTCAGAATCTTCTACTCTCTGAGATGCTTATAATGAAAAGTCTTTCTCTCAAAATCTCTCTGACGTGGTTTTTCTGGAAAACTCTTCTCACAAAGTATCTTTTGAAAATTTAACAGATATTCTGTTCGATAGAGAATTTCAAGAGCTATTTAAATCACTATTTGGATTTCACCTAGCTACTTTATCTTCGATGAAAAACTTCAAAAATAAAGGTGTCTTAAACTTTTACGATCCACTTTATATAGTATCGAATTCCATTGATCTCTTCTTCACTTACTAACTTTTCTATTAATTAATGACGCTCAAATTCTGTTTTAAATGATAAAAATCGAAGAGAAAAAAACTACAGTTTCCAGCATCCATCTGATATTTTCTCGCTCGCAATTCTAGGCCTCCATTCAATCGCTCTGCTCTAGAATCAGAGCTGCCCATCTCTGATCTCAAGTACATGTTGGTTATAAGAATAAAAATTCATTTTATTTTTTTTTTAAGGTCGTCGTGCTCTTGAATTAATTCTAACTGATTGGCCAAGTGTTAAATCTATGTTATTATGTGGCTGTCCTGATGATCTTGATTTAACTTTAATAAAAATGAAAGAAACATCTTCTCCAATATCAACATCTTCACCTATAATGTCAACATATAATAATGAAAATATTTTTTCCTTAGATGAACAACAACAAACAAGTCAATTAGATCGTTTTACTTATTTTCTTATTGTTAAATGTAATACAATCAAACAAATAAATTCAACATCAAAAACTTCAACAACAACAACAACAACAACAACCAATGATCTTCTTGATATATTATTAAATACTTTAATACGTGAAATATCAAATCCAATTAATCATGATATAGCTTATTATATATCATCACGTTTTGTACGTAGTGTTATTCGTTTATTTATTATATTAAGTCTTCAAATAACATCTGATAAAACTTCTACAATTAATTCAACAATAAAACGTAATATAACAAATTCAAATTTATCATCATCATCATCAACAACATTGACTATACCACAATTAATACTTGTACAATGTAAACGTGTTTTTCAAACATTAACAATTATATCTGTTCATGCACTTGTACAAATGGCTGATTTATTACTTTCACCTGTTCGTCATGGTATAGCTAAACCAATAGCTATGTTTAATCTTTTATCAACACATACAGATATATTACAAAGTCTTGATGAAATATTTAATATTGATTCTGAATATTATCGTGCATATCAACGTTATCCAAATAATAATAATAATAATAATAATAATAATACAAATGAAAATATTAATGAAATAAATATTGATTTAATAGAAGATGATGATAATAATTCTGATAATCAATCTCAACATGAAATAAATAATTCAAATACAACAACAATGACAGCAATACGTGAAAATCTTTCAACTAATTTAAGTGATAATGAAAGTGAAATAGAATTAGAATTACTTGCTGAATCTGATACAGATAATGAAAGTAATCATAGTGGATTAAATACAAATACACATCGAACATCAGCAATAACTGAAAATGAACATATGACATTATTTTCTGATGATGAAAATAATTCAGAATCTGATGATGTTGATAGTGTTCGAAGTGATAGTGTTTTAGGTGAAGGTGATGATACAAGTCAACATGAACCAATGATATTTGATGATGCAAGAGATAATTTACCTATTACAACAACAACAAGTAGTGGAACAACTATAACAAATGATCGATTAGTTTCAATATCATCAACAACAAGTAATAATTCAATAGGATTAAATACACAAACAGTTAATTCAACAAATAATCATTTAAATGTACCACGATTAACAAATAGAACAGCAATTACGGGTTTGTATTCAATAGAAAAATTTTTATAATTAGAAAATTTCTAACATACATGCAACTCATATTGTGTTGTGTTGTTAGAGCTCATCGAGTTTGGTTCTAAAAATTTTGAGTCGACTGATTTCGGATCTAGAATTTTTTTTAATCCAATGGACTCTTTCCACAAAAAATTAATCAATCAGGTTCGAATTCAAAGTTTTGATCGGCTGGGTTCGGATCCAAAGGGACTCTACCAGTTGTAGGGATTGATAAACTTGGAAGTCTTCCGAAGAACTTCTGTTGACGTTAAGATTTGACTGAGATACTGACTTTTTAGTGGATTTTCTTCATATAGGAAAAATTACCACTGGGCTATCCGATTAGATTAAAATAAGATATTCTTTTTTTTAAGTTTAAATCAATAGAAATTACATAATCGATATGAACTAGGATCTGCCCAATTGATCTCACGTCTGTGACTGACGCAACTAGTCATACTCTAAAAATTAACAGCCAATTATGACTTGGCTATTATTAGATTATCTGAGAAATGTGTAAGATATCATATGAAGAAACTGCTTCAAATTGTTCGGAATTTTTGTACTATTAGTTTGCCCATAAATAGGATCCTTTGAGACTATAGAAAGCCTAGATTATTACATTTACCACCTATAATGAGAAAGTTGATCAAAGTACAAAATTTCGATCTGAAGTTTTCCTACATACAAATCTTACGATCCTTACAGAAAGTTTGACACGCATTCATCAGACATTATGTTGAAACCTCAGTACCAGAGGTCATAGAATCATTCTGAACAAGACACTAGCGGCTATTTGTCTCGAATCATCTGTCCGATATCATGTTATAACATAGATAGTTTGTACGATGAGCTCAGGTAATTGCGCGCAAGAATTCTACATCATACTGACCTTCTGTCCAAAGCTACAGCTAGTATTAATAGTAGGAAAAATATTGGATTATTGAATTTACCGAAAGACAAGATTATTCTCCTTTCTCATAAGATCCACCTCATGAGTGAATTATTAACGCAAAAGCTGAGAACTACTTGAAGCAGAATACAAACAATCTTTCGGATGATTATTGAACTGAGAATAGAAGATTGTATCTGATCGACTCCATTTATATCGTATATGTTTTTAATAAAATTTTCAATATCATATCTAGGTTCGATGTTTGTTGGTGATAATCCTTCTCGACGTCATATAACTCCAATAACAACAAGTACTACTTCAAATATAAATCAACCAACATCATTTCAATCATTTCAACAACAAACAAATAATATGTCAGTTAATATAACAAATTCCTTATTAGCACGAGCTTTTGGTATTCTTATTCGACAAATAACTGATTTACTTGTTCGATGGCCATCAACATTATCTGCTTCATCTTTATATCATAATGTATTAACAACAACAACAACAATCAATGAACAAAATACATTTGATACTATACAAGTAAAATAATATAAAAATATAACAAAAGCAAAACTTGTGTGTTTGTTTTTTTTTCTAGAAAGAAATTGAACAATGTTTATTACCAAGTTGGCAATGGTTTGCAACAATAATGGATTCATTTGAATCTCAAATACGTTTTGGTATGACATTAAGTAATTTAGTTCATAATGAAAATGATACAACATTACATGGTAATCGTTTTCTTAAAAATCTTATTGAACGTACACAAATAGAAACAAAGAAAAAATCAACAACAAATCGAACAAATAATTTATCAACAAATGGTAAATACAAAAACAAAAAGTTTTTCAATAATTTTCGACTATCTAAACGAGTACTTCTCGAGGTTATCCTACA